TCCATGGCTCAGTCTGCCAGTTCTGAGAGTCACAGACCTACCAGAGGTCTCTGCCCGGCCATAAGCCACCTGCTCTAGGAAGGAGCCCTATGTTCCTGGCAGTGAGTTCCCAGGGTGTCTTGCCTTCCCCTCCATGGCCGGTGGTCTCTCAGACCTGTTACAGTCACCTAACAGGGTCTGAACAGCCCTGGGCACAGTGCCCCACACAGCCTGGACTGTGGGAGTGTGAGTGGGTTTGGGGTGGGCACCTCCAGGATTCTATAGACTAACTTGCTCTCTCCCATCTTTCCCCCAGTTCCTGAGCTGGTGCCAGGCAGGTGACACCGTCTTCCTGCAGCCCCCAGCATGTGGGCAGGCCTGGGCCCTGCCGTCACACTGGCCCTGGTGTTGGTGGCATGGGCCACCCAGCTCAAGCCCACAGCGCCACCCATCTTCACCGGCCGGCCCTTTGTGGTAGCATGGGATGTCCCCACACAAGACTGTGGCCCTCGCCTCAAGGTACCACTGGACCTGAAGGCCTTTGATGTGCAGGCCTCGCCTAATGAGGGTTTTGTGAACCAGAACATCACCATCTTCTACCATGACCGGCTGGGCCTGTATCCACACTTCAGTTCCGTGGGGAGGTCTGTGCATGGGGGCGTGCCACAGAATGGCAGCCTCTGGGCACATCTGAAGATGCTGCAGGAGCACGTGGAGCACTACATCCGTACACAGGAGCCTGCAGGCCTGGCAGTCATCGACTGGGAGGACTGGCGGCCCGTGTGGGTGCGCAACTGGCAGGACAAGGACGTGTACCGCCAGTCGTCGCGCCAGTTGGTGGCCACTCGCCACCCTGACTGGCCAGCAGACCGTGTGGTCAAGCAGGCGCAGTACGAGTTTGAGTTTGCGGCCCGCCAGTTCATGCTGGAGACGCTGCGCTTTGTCAAGGCAGTGCGGCCGCGGCACCTCTGGGGCTTCTACCTCTTCCCCGACTGTTACAACCACGACTACGTGCAGAACTGGGACACCTATACAGGCCGCTGCCCTGATGTTGAGGTCTCCCGAAACGACCAGCTGGCCTGGCTGTGGGCCGAGAGCACAGCCCTCTTCCCCTCCGTCTACCTGGACGAGACACTGGCGTCCTCCACCCACGGCCGCAACTTTGTCAGCTTCCGCGTTCAGGAGGCCCTCCGCGTGGCTCACACCCACCACGCCAACCACGCGCTCCCGGTCTACGTCTTCACACGCCCCACCTACAGCCGCAGGCTCACAGGGCTCAGCGAGGTACGTGCCGGCCCCCGCCTTCTCCCCGCCCCGCACAACCACTGCCGGGTTGGGATAGCAGGGGGCCTCCTGCCCCCTAGCTGACTAGCTGCTCTCCATCCCCTCCCGTCATTCTCCCTGTGACCTTGTGAAAGGGTGGCATCATTATCTCCATCTTGCAGATAAGAAAATTGAGATCCAGAGATGCTGAGAAATTTGCTCAAAGCTTCCCAGCACATCCAGGGCAGAGCAGGGACTTGGGAGTCCATCCTGATAGATACATCCTAGATTCAAGTGGGCTATTGGCTTGGGAAACGGAAGCCAAAGTAGGAGTGCAAACGGCTTGCACATCTAATGAGAAAGTGAAACAGCCTCTGCCTGAGGGTGGAAAGGGGTACTGGGCTGAGGGGATCAGCATGGCAGAACAGGGTGGGGGCCTGTCCAGCCTGTCTTGTCCTCACCCTGTGGTCTCAGTCTCCCCCGTGACTGTCCTCCTCCCACACAGATGGATCTCATCTCCACCATTGGTGAGAGCGCAGCCCTGGGCGCGGCCGGGGTCATCCTCTGGGGCGACGCGGGCTACACCACCAGCAAGGTGAGTAAGACAGAGTGGAGTCTGCAGGGGGGCAGGCAGAGAGTTGCAGCTTTGGGCTGCCAACCTCAAGGTGGGCAAACCAACCTAGTCTGGGCCCCTTGTCTGTCTCCCACCCAAGGCCTCCCTGGTCCCAACAGAGGAGAAAGGGTTCCTCCCCTATTCCCAGGAAAGGGGTCATACCGTCCTGAACAGCCTTAGAGTTCCACCCTCTCCCCGCCAGCCGCCCTGCTGGGCTCGTCTCTGTCCCCTCCTCCCTTCTCAGTGGGAGCAGGGGCAGTAAGGGCTCAAGCACGCATGTATGTGTACACACGTGTGCGCTGTTACAAGAACACAGGGCTTCCATCCGGGCCTGTGGGCTGAGGCCCTGACCCTGATCCCTGGCCTCTGCCCTCAGGAGACCTGCCAGTACCTCAAGGATTACCTGACGCGGCTGCTGGTCCCCTACGTAGTCAACGTGTCCTGGGCTGCCCAGTATTGCAGCTGGGCCCAGTGCCATGGGCACGGGCGCTGTGTACGCCGCGACCCCAGCGCCAGTACCTTCCTGCACCTCAGCGCCAGCAGCTTCCGCCTGGTGCCTAGCCGCGTGCCTGGGGAGCCCCAGCTGCGCCCAGAGGGGGAGCTCAGCTGGGCGGATCTCAACTACCTGCAGACGCACTTCCGCTGCCAGTGCTACTTAGGCTGGGGGGGCGAGCAGTGCCAGTGGGACCGCACACGGGCAGCTGGCGGTGCCCGTGGGGCCTGCGCTGGGCCCCTCCTCACCAGCTCGCTGGCTGGGGCAGCCCTGGCCCTCACCTGGACTTTGTAGGGGTCTCTCTCCCGGCTGCCGGGCCAGCTGGCCTCTGCCAGGCATGTAGGAGCCTGCCCGGGGTGCACAAACTGGAGCTCCGAGGGGGCAGAGCCCCGGGGATGCCCGGCAGGGTGTCCATACCAGCTCTCACCCCCCTGTTCTAAGGGGGAGGCAGTTCCCTGAGAGGCCCCTTTTCTCCCTGCCAGAGAGGAAGAGGGGTATAGCCGGGCCAGAGAGGACCTGACCCTACTCTCCTGCCCCTGGATAGTTTATTATTATTATTTTGGGGTCTCTTTTGTAAATTAAATATGAAACACCTGCTTCTGTGCTTGGACTGTCTGCACCTAGGCCAGGACACATGAGAGAGATTCCAGGGTGTCTCAGGAGGTTTGAGCGCAGGCCTGTCTCCGTGAGACTCTCTGCTGGGAACTTCGTATCCGTCAAATGCGGTCCGTGGAACCTGGAGGCCCAGAGCTGCCCATTCTGCAGCTGCCCTGCTGGGGCAGGGGCCACTGGGAACGGAGGGATTCACATTCCACCCCAACACCCAGGATTGTGGGTTTCTCCGTATTGATTGGAAAGCAGTTGGGCCCAGCCTTCCGTGAGGGACTAGGCTCATTGTGTTTCTCCTCCTTGCCCCTGGATCCCCAGCTGGGCCAGTGCCACTCACCTCGCCTTGCCCACCCAGGGAGACGGGAAGTGGATATTTGATCTTCCCTGGCTGGGCAGGTAGCCAGACCACCCCTCCCTGTTGTTCCCACAGGCAAGGGCGTCTTCTCCACTCCTTGCTCCAAGGGCAGTGGACTTCAGCCACATACACCTCTCCCCAGCTGGGTCACAGTCCTCCACTGGGGTTTGGGACCTGAATCTTGAGGTCTCAACCCTGTCCCACCGCAAAGACATGCGATGGGGCGAGAGGGAGGCATCTTGAGTCTGGGAGCAGAGACCTCCTCAAAGGTCAGCCCCGTCCTGACCATTGGAGAATGTGGCTTGTCCCCAGCTGTCCCAGGGGAGAGAAGTAGCATCTGGAGTAGTCAGACTAGCTCCAGCCTGCTTCATTCTTGAAGGGGCTCTGCCCCTCTCCTCAGCCATCAAACCCACACTTTGGGTCCCCTTGTCCATGTCAGTGATGACACAACACTGGCTGTGGGGAGACAGACTCAAGAAACAGCCAAGTGGTGAAGGAGGGCAGCCCAGCCACAAGGCCTCAAGAGAGGTATCCTCGAGGAAGTGCTTTCTACACTGAGTTTGAAAAGGGGAAGGGGAAGCTTGCTACTAGAGACAAAGTGCGGGCAAAGGTTGCAGGAAGTTGGAACACGGCTGGGACCTGCAGTCCAAGGCTGCAGCGTGGCCAGGGGCTACCACAGGTAGGGCAGGAAGGGCAGCCCTCGAGTGGCACCACGCCTGACTTTGCTTGAGTCTCACCTGCTCAGTAAACAGCACTCACACACGTGCCACTGCTGGGCTGGGCTGCATCTGCAAGCCACACCAGCAAAGGGCCCTGTTGTCCTGGGGATGCACACTAGATGCAAAGGCCAAGTCAGACGTGGTCAGCGGAGCAGAGCCTGGAGAAGCGAGCCCCACCACATCGATGTCAGCTCAGGTTGTCAGGTGATCCTCGTCCCTCTGGCTGGCGACGGCCGAGAACGGAGGGAAGGGGGCTAGGCGGGAGCACAGAAGGCAACGTCAGTCACGTGGAGGGGGAGGGTGCCCAGTGCTCGGGGCCATGGTAGGGAGAAGCCTGCTGGACAGAAGATGAAGGTGTTGGTCTATAAGGTCACGAGATGATGGAGCCAGCAAAAAGAGGGCAAGGAAGAAGCTGTGACTCGTCTGTGTTGCCCTCACCCCTCTGACTTGCCCTACCCAGCTGTGACCCTCAAACACACCTGTGAGCTACCCCACCCACATCGGTAACACCCAACATCTGTGGCCTTTCCCACCTAGCCAGGACTCCTCCATACCCGTGCCAAGCTGTGGTTTCCCCCACATGTGTGACCTACACAACTCTTTTTTTTTTTTTTTAAGATTTTATTTATTTTTTTGACAGAGAGAGACACAGAGAGGGAATACAAGCAGGGGGAGTGGGAGAGGGAGAAGCAGGTTTCCCGCGGAGCAAGGAGCCCGATGCGGGACTCGATCCCAGGACCCCGGGATCATGACCTGAGCCGAAGGCAGACGCTTAACCGACTGAGCCACTCAGGCGCCCCGACCTACACAACTCTTACCTCCCCCAGACATCTGTGACCTGTACCCATCGGCTGGGACCCCTCCGTGCAAATCTGTGATCACCTCACATCACTTTCCAGGAGGACCTGGACGACAGCCTTGTGGAAAGTGCAACTCAGGGACAGCCACAGCTGTGGGTGGGTAGGTGTAAAGGGGAGGGAGGTGGCTCAGACCTGGGATATGCACACCACCAGAGAGGGCAGGCAGGGCTGGACCACGAAGCCGGACTGACCCCAGACACACACAGCACTTGGGCCAACCCCGCCAGAGCAGTGCAGCAGGGGCGGGTCTGTGGGCAGGGCCCTGGGGCTGGGGAGCATCTTCCTGCCATTCCACCATTAGAGCTTCTCCCCTGGACTGAGGCCAGCTAGAGAATGCCAGCCGGTTTGGCTGGGTTATGGGGCACCTGAAGGTAGCATGAACCCTCAGGAAGAGGGTCGGGGCTGCCTTGGTGTTCTCCTGTCCCCTCAGCCCTTGGGAGTTGTGCCAGGCTCTCTGAGCCTAATGGTCATCACTCTGGGACCCTGCTTCCTGAACAAGATCAGCAGCCACCACCTCTGTGGCTAGATCCTGTGCTGGGGTCCTCCTCCTTCAGCGCTGTCAGCTTCTCCATCCTAGCCTGGAGGACCGAGTCCAGATGGTAGCCGGCTGTGTCACTGACTCATTGACCACTGTGCCAGGGGGTCCCTGGCTCAGGCTCAGACTGGGCTGTGGACTCAGGTAGCACTTTCACCTGGATCAGGGATATGAGGTTTCCTTCACCCCACCCTGGCAGGCATGCCTGGGCCTGGGCACCTAGCAGGTCTCAATCAGCTTCTGAATCAGCAAACAAGTGAAATCACAAAGGAATGAACAAGTATGTGGTCAGTGACACACCCATGGTCACCCAAACACGGGGTCTCACAGTCACAAGACTGCGAAGTCACACCCAGCTCAGGCACTGGATCCCACACTTGCACATACTACTGGACCTTGCACAGAGGCCTAGACCGTAGCTGACCAGCCCTGACTTCACAGACACAGTGCCTTTCACACACATCCCTAAAGCAGAGGGGATCTACCTCCTGGGCATAGTCGGTGTAGGGCCTGGGGCCGCAATACTTCTAGGGGCCCAAAAACAGTCTTAACTTTTTTTTTTTTTTTTAAGATTTTATTTATTTATTTGACAGAGACACAGCGAGAGGGAACACAAGCAGGGGGAGTGGGAGAGGGAGAAGCAGGCTTCTCGCAGAGCAGGGAGCCCGATGTGGGGCTCGATCCCAGGACCCTGGGATTATGACCTGAGCCAAAGGCAGACGCTTAACGACTGAGCCACCCAGGTGCCCGTCTTCACTTTTTTAATCAGAGGAAAATATATATTAATAATGAATATATAATAATGACTTCAGTCTGGATTGTACTTGTCTTTGTACCAGCACAGTTGTAAAATGCATTTTTTAATGTTTTGAGGAAGGGGCCCACAAAGGCAAAAGTGCCTAAGACCCAGAGATATCATAATGCAGCCCTGCAGGAAAGTAGGCTCCCTCAGGGTACTGTACTGAGGCACCCAGACTCCAGTACCACACACAGGCGTGCCCAGAGGGGTCTGCCACCCAAAAAGCCCCCCTGCACCGCTTCCACCCCCACCCCAACCCAAAAAAAGCCACAAAGCCCTGCCGTGATGTTGACCGTGTGGGCGGGGCTGCTTCCCGCCCAGCCCCACCTTCTAGCAAGGCACTTTGTTAGGGGTGCTGAGGTGGCTCTGCTGCCTGGCCCAGCCCTCCAACTCAGGGCCTGCCCCTCAGCCCGCCCCCAGACTGGGTGGGGTGACCCCCCTACAAAAGCTCAGTTTCCAGCAGCAGCTTCCTCTGAGTGTGGTGCAGCTGGGGCCAGAGTTGAGGAACAGAATCTTGCTGAGCCCTGCCTAGGCCCTCACGCTGGGGTCAGGAAATTTGGAGGATGAGGCCCTTCAGCCCTGAGGTCAGCAGGGACAACTGGGCAGACTGGTGGGTATACAGGAGGGTTGGGCTGACCTGTCCAGCTGAGCATCTCTTCCTCCAATGGCTGGCCAGGATTCCTGGGGGAAGACAGGAAAGGATCCCCCATCAGTCAGGTCAGCCTGGAGGCTGAGGGCCTGGCTCTCAGCAGCTCTTCTCAAAACAGAGTCATGGCTTCTGTGGCCCCTGGGGAAGGGGATTGGTTAGCTTAGCCGAGGCAAAGCCTATGGGAGACAGGAGGGCAAAGGCCCCGCCCTAGAAGCAACTCAGACGTGCCCTCCAGTGGCAGCGTTCCCCCTCCACACCTTTCCTTTGCCCTCTGACCTCCCTAAGCCCTGAGCCAAGGTCAATGTTTACCTAAGGCCGAGCAGGGGTGGATTAATGAGCAAGGGGCTTGGCCTGCCTTCTCTGAGCAGGGGTCAGAGAGTTCAGAACCTGCTCTCAGCTTTGCCTCCTCTGGTCAGGTTTCCCTAGACCCATCCTCTGCCATGGCAGTCCACCTGCTTCCCACCTACGCTCTCTTCCTGACCTTGCTTGGCGCGGCCCAAGGCTCCAGAAGCCCCATGGTGCCCAACCAGCCCTTCACCACCATCTGGAACGCAAACACCCAGTGGTGCCTGGAGAAATACGGCGTGGATGTGGATGTCAGTGTCTTCGATGTGGTGGCCAACCCTGGGCAGACCTTCCGCGGCCCTGATATGACCATTTTCTACAGCTACCAGCTGGGCACCTACCCCTACTACACATCTGCTGGGGAGCCTGTGTTTGGTGGCCTGCCCCAGAATGCCAGCCTGGATACCCACCTGGCCCGCTCCTTCCAGGACATCCTGGCTGACATCCCTGAGTCCGACTTCTCAGGGCTGGCAGTCATCGACTGGGAGGCATGGCGCCCACGCTGGGCCTTCAACTGGGACACCAAGGACATTTACCGGCAGCGCTCCCGAGCACTGGTACGGGGGCAGCATCCCGACTGGCCAGCTCCTCGGGTGGAGGCAACAGCACGGGACCAGTTCCAGGAGGCTGCACAGGCCTGGATGGCAGGCACCCTCAAGCTGGGGCAAGCTCTGAGGCCTCGTGGCCTCTGGGGCTTCTATGGCTTCCCTGACTGCTACAACTATGACTTTCTACGCCCCAACTATACTGGCCAGTGCCCGCCGGGTGTCAGTGCCCAGAATGACCAGCTGGGGTGGCTGTGGAGCCAGAGCCACACCCTCTACCCCAGCATCTACATGCCCGCAGAGCTGGAGGGCACGGGGAAGGGACAGATGTATGTGCGGCACCGTGTAGGTGAGGCATTCCGTGTGGCTATGGGTGTTGGGGACCCCAATCTGCCGGTGCTGCCCTATGCTCAGATCTTCTATGACAAGACGAACCGCTTTCTGTCCCTGGTGAGTCTCCTATGACCCCACCCACCTTGTAGCCTACCTTGTCAGGCATTAGGTCCAATAAGTGAGGCCACACAGCCTTGGGGCACTTTCATCCATTATGCTCCATTCCTTGAGCTCCTACTGTGTGCCAAGCTCTGTGCTCGGTACAGACGTTCATCACAAAGATGGAATGCCTGCTGCAGGCTACGGTGAGGAGGACAGGCTTGCCTCTCGCTACCGGGGCCAGAGCAGCCCCAGGTGGGGACTATGAGTTATTTGTCCCACCCGGTGGTGTTACAGCAATCTGCTGTGTGGGGGAGGGAGGGGAGGAAGGCCCCTCAGAGCTATGCGGTCCCTTTCCCCAGGATGAGCTGGAGCACAGCCTGGGGGAAAGTGCAGCCCAGGGAGCAGCAGGAGTGGTACTCTGGGTGAGCTGGGAGAACACAAAAACCAAGGTGAGCTCAGGCCCAGGATGGGGGTTAGGGTGGGGGCAGGAGTTGGGCTGGAAGGCTGATTGGGAAGACCCTGGCCGGCCCTTTCTATCCCTGCACTCCTGGCGGGCCAGCAGGTGAGTGTGTCAATGCCCTAGGTAGGCCCATGCATGATCGTGGTGTCCCTGATGCTCCTCCTCCCACTCAGGAATCGTGCCAGGCCATCAAGGAGTATGTGGACACCACACTGGGGCCCTTCATCCTCAACGTGACCAGTGGGGCTCTTCTGTGCAGTCAAGCCCTGTGCTCAGGCCATGGTCGCTGTGCCAGGCGCCCCAGCCACCCTGAGGCCCTCCTCATCCTCAACCCCGCCAGCTTCTCCATCCAGCTCACTCGTGGTGGCAGGCCCCTGACCCTACAAGGTGCCCTCTCACTTGAGGATCAGATGCAGATGGCTGTGGAGTTCCAATGTCGCTGCTACCGTGGCTGGAAGGGAGCACGGTGTGAGCAGCAGGGCATGTGGTGATTGGTCACACGCCAGGATACACACATTGAGCACCTGTTTACCTTAAAAATAAATTGGTTATTTTACCAGCAAAAATGGTTTTTTGGGGGGAACCGCAGGGAAGTGCAATTTGAGATATGTGAGCTGTTGCAAAACCATAGGCAAGTCTGGAGAACAAAGAGGAGGAATGCTATTTTATAGAGGAATGGGGGGAGTTGGAAGGGCCTGTTATAAACAGAAAATCCATTGGAGTAAAACTGGGAGTTTGAAGGGTGATGGCTTTTCATTGAGCTATGAGGCTCTCTCATTGGCTGGGCTGTTGTCAGGCAATGAGAAAATCTTTCCTCCCATTGGAGGAGTAAAGTAGTCTCCTTCCTGTTGGGTCTGCAAAAGGCTGCAAGAAGTGGTGTGTGTGAGTTCCCCCTTCTAGCCTCTCGACTCCATTTTATTTTTACTTAATTATTTGACAGAAGGAGAGAGAGAGCAAGCATACAAGCAGGGGCAGCAGCAAAGGGAGAGGGAGAAGCAGGCTCCCCGATGAGCAAGGAGCCCGACACGGGACTTGATCCCAGGACTTTGGGATCACAACCCGAGTGGAAGGCAGACGCTTAACCAACTGAGCCACCCAAGCGTCTCGCTCGACTCCATTTTAAATGAGGTTTTCTTTTTATTTCTTTTAATGAGGTTTTATTTATTTGGTTTCACAACCTAATGCACTCTGAGCCTGGTCACAGCTTTCTCAAGTACAAGCAGTCACACAAGTCACGGTCAGTCAGGATTACTCTCAGCCACCATCAAGAGCATATGTCTGCACCTGCACACATGCTTACAGGCCAGGATAGTTGAAGGGGTTAGAGCCTCCAGCACCCACCCAATAGGGTCATTAACATCTCCAGAGACACTGAGCCCAGTCTTTAAGCTGCAGCTATCACAAGAACTGACATTCACTGAGCACCTACTCCTCCCCAAGTCCTGTGCTAAGCATTTTATTATTTTTTTTATTATTATTTTTTAAAGATTTTATTTATTTATTTGAGAGAGAGAGAAAGCATGAGGTGGGGAGGGTCAGAGGGAGAAGCAGACTCCCCGCCAAGCAGGGAGCCTGATGTGGGACTCGATCCCAGGACTCCAGGATCATGACCTGAGCCGAAGGCAGTCGCTTAACCAACTGAGCCACCCAGGCGCCCCCTGTGCTAAGTATTTAAAGTAGACTAACTCATTCAATCCTAACATGACGTTATGAGGAAACAGGCACACACTGAGAGGGCAACCATTTTGTCCAATGTTGCACAGCCAGAAAACAGAGCAGCTTAGGTCGAACCCAGGCTGTCTAGCCATAGAGGTAGAGCCCTTTGGCTCCTACTCTGTGTTGACAGTAACCAGCCCTGCACGCAACCTGAATCTGCTCAGAGGTACCAGCCTCGCAAATAAAGTAGACATGATTCTTGCTTCAAGAGCTATTGAGTGCCCAAAACGTACAGGCGCTGGGATGCAAGAGGGCACAGCAAAGGCTCGTCTCTCTCACCCAGTCCTAATGTCTGTCCGAGGGCGGCTGTTTCCAAGGATGGGACCCAAATTTCAGGAGGAAGCTCTACCTGACCGTTTCCACACAGGACCCTCTTACCCGGGAGGCCAACGGAAACCGAGACCTGCCTGAGCCTAGGGTGGGGCGAGACGGGGCGAGGCGAAAGTAGAGCCAGGTGGAGGAGGGGCCTGCACCCGGCCAAGGCTTTGGCGTGATGGGCCCCGGCAGGGCCTCTGCCGAGCGGAATCCCGAAAGACCTAAGCGATGCCCAGGAGCCAGAGACTGGGCCTGCACTGGGCGGGGCACGTCGAGGAGGAGGTGGAGCCTGCGCTCGGTCACAGCGGTGAAGCGCCGGCGCAGGGAGCTGTGGCTCGGCGACGGCGGGAGGGGCAGAGGCGGAGCCAGGGCAGAGACCGGGTCTGCGTGGGCTCGGTGTTATGACGCGCTGAGCCGGGGGCGGAGCCTAAGCGGTGACGCGCGGAGGCGGGGTGGGGGCTGGCGGCCTAGGGAAAGTCTGGACCAGGTGGGGCGCTGCGGGCCGCGACGGCTGCATTGCGTCCGCCGTACCGCTAGGGGCCAGCGCGGGCGGTCGGAAGAGTCCAAGCCACAGAGCGAGAAACCGGCCAGCGCGGAGCGAGGACGCGGAGCATCCCGGATCTTGGCTTCAACATGTCAGTAACTCCCCCTTCCCACGCGCAGCATGTTGGTTCTCACTGTCTCCCGTCCGCCCCACGCGTGCGGTCCTCAAGTGGCTGTGCCGCCCCGCACGCCTTCCCTGCGTCTGTCGTTCCCTCCCAGAGCATGCCGAGCCACACCCACCCAGAGTCAAGCTCCCGAAGCACCCCCACCCACCCCCCCAAAAAACTCCATGGTTTGTCACCCACTAGGAGGGAGGGGGAAACTGAGGCCCAGGAGAGCCTTGCCGCCTCTCCGTGAGGACCCAGGAGCCCCGCCCACAGTGGGTGGGGTCGGCACTGAAAGGGTTAAGCCCGCGGGGAAGTCTGGGGCTCCAAGCCTGGGGGCGGATCCTGGGGCTTCCTCCCTCTAGGTCCAGGGCGGCGGCTGCTGAGGAGGTAGCTGATGCAGGTGAGGGGCTTATAGCCCTCCGAGTGGGATATAGTGTGTGGGGCGGGGGGCTCCTACCTGTGCACGACCAGTGCGGAATTGGCCTCAAGCTCAGGGGACCTTCTTGGGGAGGTGGGGAAGGGGAGCCAGGACGTCCTCTCTGGAGCAGGTGAGTAGAAGTGTGCAGCCCAGCGGATCCCCCACCGCCAGAAATCCCCCAGCATAGATCTTCTGGAAGCACGGTTTGGGGTAGGATGGGCAAACAATGGGATTTAGGCGCAGGAGGTCTGAGGCCCCAACCCGGTGGCGGTTGGACACCCTTGTGGATTTAGGAAGGAAGCTGTGGTCCTTATCTAGGGTGACTACGAAACTCAGGCCAGTGGGGAACCAAGCCTGCAAGAGCCACATTGCTGTGAGACTGTGAGCCAGGCCCCTTGCCAGTGCTGTTGGGGCCCCATCTGAAGGGACATTTGGGTCTGTGCCCAAGCAAAGTGTCCTGAGCGTTGGGGAGGGGGCCATGGGCTCTGTGCTGCAGGCAGGGAAGGGAAATCCCATCCTAAATGGGTGGGTGAGTGGTACCCCAGGATTGGTCAGGTGGCAGGCATGGCCCAAGCGGCCAAAAAGGCTGGGACCAAGAATGTAGGGAAAAGGAAGGAACAGGGGTGCTCCTGGGGGCAGCTGTGTTTCCTCCAAAGGGAATCTTGAGTGGGTTTAAGTAAGGGATCATGGTGTCTAGTTTGCATGTCCTGTCTGATGGCCAGCCAGCCATGATGGTAAGGCTAAATCCACCATCCTGGGGAGAACAAAGTTGTAGCCACAGCAGGCTGGGGCCAGGACTCTTGGGTTCTGCCCCAGCCTTTAGGCTTCAGCCTCCCTCCAATGTGGAGCAGGACATGATGGACCTATTTCTGTTGCCTGAAATGCTGTCCACCTGAGTCAGGTATAGGGGATGGTCTCCAGGTCACCTGTGCCATCAGGTGAGTATGGGGACAAGGTGTAGTTTACCAGTTCCGGGACACATGGCCCACCTAGCACTCTGTCAGCCCCTCCCTGCCCCAACCCTGTCCTCCCTCTTGGTACAGCCTAGCGTGGCTGTTGTCCATCAGAGGAGCACCCTTGTGGTCTGAGGAGATACCACTGTCTGGAGACTGTGCTCTTAATCCCTAACCTGCCACTGAGCCACCTGCAACCCAGTAGGAGACGACCTTGGCTCCCAGCCTGACTCAGCTGAGCCTAGATCCTACATGTAGGTGAGAGCTCACTCTGAGCGCCGGCCCACCAAAGCTGACCCCAACCCTAGACCCTGCACACCAGATAGAGCTGATCTTGAGTACCAGCCGAGCCAAGCTGACTCTGGATCCTGCATGCCAGCCAGAGTTGACCCTGAGATCCAACCTGGCCACGCTGACCCTGGATCCTGCACACCAGCCAGAGCTGACCCTGAGCCCCAGGCTAGCTGAGCTGACCCCGGGTTCTGCATGCCATCCAGAGATGACTCTCAGTCCTGGCTCCACTGAGCTGACCCTGGATCCCGCACACCAGCCAGAGGACACCCCAGCCCCCAACCTGGCTGAACTGACCCTGGAGCCTGTGCACTGCCGACCTGAGCTCCTGGATGCCTGTGCCGACCTCATCAATGAGCAGTGGCCCCGAAGCCGTGCCTCCCGCCTGCACTCCTTGGGCCAGTCCTCAGATGCCTTCCCCCTCTGCCTGATGCTGCTGAGCCCCCGCCCCACACCCGAGGTAGCCCCCATCGTGGTGGGTCATGCCCGCTTGTCACGGGTGCTAGACCGGCCCCAGAGCCTCCTGGTGGAGACAGTGGTGGTGGCCCGGGCTCTGAGGGGCCGCGGCTTTGGCCGCCGTCTGATGGAGGGCCTGGAGGCTTTTGCTCAGGCCCGGGGCTTCCGCCGGCTACACCTCACCACCCATGACCAGCTGCAGTTCTATGCCCACCTGGGCTACCAGCTGGGTGAGCCTGTGCAGGGCCTGGTCTTCACCAGCCAACAGCTGCCTGCCACCCTGCTCAGGGCCTTCCCCAGAGCCCCCTCTCCCCGGCCACCCTGCAAGGCTCCTAGTCTAACTGTCCAAACTGCCCCAAGAGTCCCCAAGGGGCCATCATTGCCACCACCCCCTCCCCTGCCTGAGCCCTTGATCACCTCACCCCCACCTCCTGCAGGCCCCCCTCCACAAAGCCTGCTGGAGACGCAGTACCAAGACCTGAGAGGATGCCCCATATTCTGGATGGAAAAGGACATCTGAGGGCTACCCAGGGCAAGGCACTGTCCTTCAGGGTCGATGGACTGCTTGGGACAGTACCAGCCTCAGCCCAGCCCATTGGCCATACCTCCAGTCCCTAGAGCCTGGGGGCAGCTTTAGCCTGGCCATGTTTCCTGAGTACCAGTGGGGCTGGGAGACTGCTCCATAGCTGTGGCTCAGAGCTGTCAGTGTGGCTGAATAAAGGCTTCTGTTGGGTGTGGCTGTGACAGTTTATTTGTTGACCCACCCTCACCTCCCAGCCTTATCTTAGATCCTCTATCTCTGTAAGATCCTCCGGATCCACCTTGGCCCTGGGGCCATGGATGAAGGGACACCTAACTTTTGCCCCTCCCACTCTGCCAGGCCCAGGTGACAAGGTGTCTGTACCCTTTCACGTTCATCACCATTCACTGAGCACCTACTGTGTGTCAGGCCCTAAACCGGGCAATGGGGAACTAGACAGATAGGGCCTTGATCCAAGGAACAGAAGGAGATAGGCATACAGTGGCAGGATCTATGTCGGGACAGTGGGAGCCCAAGTGCCCTCAGTCCGTTTGGAAATCCAGGGGAGGTGATGTCACAGCAGAGACCTGAGTGCTAAGTAGGAATCAAGCCAGGCAAAGGGGGAGGGTGTTAAGTGTTCCTGGAGCAGGGAACGAGATGGACAGGATAGAAGGGGACTGGTGAGAACTGTGAGTGGGCGAGGAGTCAGAGGGCACAGTGGTGTCATGACAAAGATGGAGAACATGGGAGGGGAGCTGCCCAGGCTGACGCATGGCATGGCTGGTCTGAGAGGGCTAGAGGACCACAGGGGGGCCATGTTTTCCCCACCCCCCATCCTCGTGGGGAGTAGTTGGGGGAGTGTTCCCAGCTTTCCCTGCTGTATGGAAGGTATGGCCATGGCCATGGACTCTTAAGCTCACAGCCCCTCTCTCCTGCAGGTTTCCATCCCTGGGGCATGATCATGCAGCTGGGCCTGGCCCTGGTGCTCGGAGTGGCCCTGTGCCTGGGGTTTGGCCAGCCCCTGCTTTGGGCTCCTGAACGCCCCTTCTCTGTGCTGTGGAACATACCCTCAGCACACTGTAAGACTCGCTTTGGCGTGCACCTGCCGCTAGAGGCCCTGGGCATCACAGCCAACCGTGGCCAGCGTTTCCATGGCCAGAACATCACCATCTTCTACAAGAACCAGCTCGGCCTCTATCCCTACCTTGGGCCCAGGGGCACAGCTCACAATGGGGGCATCCCCCAGGTTGTCCCTCTTGACCGCCACCTGGCACGGGCTGCCTACCAGATCCACCACAGCCTAGGACGTGGCTTCGCTGGCCTGGCAGTGCTAGACTGGGAGGAATGGAGCCCACTCTGGGCTGGGAACTGGGGCCGCCGCCGAGCCTATCAGGCAGCCTCATGGGCTTGGGCACAGCGGATATTCCCCGACCTGAGCCCCCAGGAGCAGCTCCACAAGGCCCATGCTGGCTTTGAACAGGCAGCCCGGGCCCTGATGGAGGACACATTGCGACTGGGCCAGGCACTGCAACCCCATGGGCTCTGGGGCTTCTACCGCTTCCCAGCCTGTAGCAATGGCTGGCATGGTATGGCTTCCAATTACACTGGCCACTGCCACCCAGCCGCTCTTGCCCGCAACACCCAACTTCATTGGCTCTGGGCTGCCTCCAGCGCCCTCTTTCCTAGCATCTACCTCCCACCCAGTCTGCCGCCTATCTACCACCAGGCATTTGTCCGATACCGCCTGGAGGAGGCCTTCCGTGTGGCCTCCGTTGGGCATCCACAGCCCTTGCCTGTCCTGGCCTATGCCCGCCTCACACACCGGAGCTCTGGGAGGTTCCTGTCTCAGGTGAGTGAAGGTTGAGATCCAGGGGTCTGAGTGGGGGGCATGGCCCTGTCCGAGGAAGGTCTGAAGAGAAGATGTTGCCCTGGGGGGATCTGATGGGGAGGCCCTGATCTAGTTTTTAGTGGGGAGGTCCTATTCTGGAGCATCTGAAAAGGAAGTAAGGCTCTGTGTTGGAATACCTTGAGGGGGAAGGCAAGGCCCAGCGTTTGGAGCCCTGGTCTGAGGGGAGACAGACCCTGAGTGGAGGACCTGAGAAGCCACTCAGAGGCTCAGTACCAAGGAATCTTACTCTAGTGGAATCAGATCATGGCGATGAGCCAGAAAAGTTTCTCGAAGGTGCAAGGCCTGGCTTAGCAGCTCTTTGCCTCCAGGATGACCTTGTGCAGACCATTGGTGTGAGCGCAGCACTCGGGGCAGCCGGCGTGGTGCTCTGGGGGGACCTAAGCTTCTCCAGCTCTGAGGTGATCATTGCCCCTCCAACCTGCCATGCAGCCCATGCTGGAGTCCCAGGGTTGGGAGAAAGACCATCTCAGAGCCATGGAGCAGGAGCATTGATACATCCTTCCCCTCTCCTCAGGAGGAGTGCTGGCATCTCCATGACTACCTAGTGGGCACCCTGGGCCCCTATGTAATCAACGTGACCAGGGCAGCCATAGCCTGCAGTCACCGGCAGTGCCACGGCCATGGGCGCTGTGCCTGGCAAGATGGAGGACAGCTGGAAGCCTTTCTGCACCTGCAGCCAGATGGCAGCCCTGGAGCCTGGGAGTCCTTTAGCTGCCGTTGTTACCCAGGCTGGGCTGGCCCTACCTGCCAGGAGCCCAGGCCTGAGCCCAGGCCTGAAGAAGCAGCATAAAGCCAGAAGTTACCTGTCCCTGAGTCTCTTGTCCCTGCTGCCATTTTTCCAGTCCTGGAGGGAGGACTCTGTCTCGCTCTTGTTCTATTCAGTTTATAGTCAGTCCTCCTATACACACCCCCCACTTCCCATGGGACCCCTGGGAAGTGGAAGGGGCCAGAAAAAAAGGTTTACACCTTTTTATTTTATTATTATTTTGCTTACACCATTTTAAAACCAAAGGTCCTCTGAGATCACTTGATCCCTTCTGATAAGGAAGCAGCCCTGGGGAGAGTCACCGTTCCAGATGGTTAGTGTTGCCAGCCCAGAGCTCTGTTCCACCTCCTCACTGGGTCCATGGAGAGGTCACAGGAGACCCGTCCAGGGACAGGTGGGCTCCAGGATCTTGGCTAAGGTCTGTAAGTGCTAAGCTGTTGTCTGTCCTCTGCTTCATCATAAAGTCACTTTTTCTTTCACTGCCTAAGGTTTGACTGTTCACCCAGCTCTACCAAGCCCCACGCTCTTCCTGTCGCGAATGTCCAGCCTCCGTGCCAAGAAATGCCGGTCCTGCCTGCCGTGGTAGGCTGCTCCAAGGCGGCAGCTTCAGAGTTTAACTACCGTGCAGGGATGCACATGTAACGGGGGGCGGGGGGGGGGGGGGCGGCGTGTGCGCAGGGCATTGTGGGTACATAGTTCAGCTAGAACGTCGTAGGCTTTGGGGTCTCTGAAGTAGACTACAATTCCCGAGGTGCTCTGCGCTCAGCCGGCCTGCGGTCATCTGCGCGCACAGCCCCCTGGGATTAGTAGTTTTGTCCGCGTGGATGTGGGCCTGAACCCAATGGCCAAGAACTCGCCTTCCCGGCCACCCATTTAGCAGGGCGGGGCGCCCCGACCCGTTTGGCAGGGCGGGGCGCCTCGCGAAGATGGTGTCGCGTGTGGCGTGTGGCTCCCGTCGTCTGCCCAAGTCCCAGCTTAGCCCACCGACCGGCGTCTTGCCGGTCTGGAATCCTTGTCCGCCGGGTCCCTGACCCCGCGCCCTCCGCGCGCCCGCGCTCCTGATTCCCGGCATGCCCCGCGCCCGTAAGGGCAGCGCGCCCCGCAAGGGCAGCCAGCGCCGCGGAGCGGGTAAGTGGGGAGCTGCTAATGAACGGCGAGCGGGGGTCCTGCGTGGCTTTCTTGTCGGTGTCCTGGAGGGTCCTGGGCAGAGACTCCTGCCTCGACCAACCTGGCGCTGCGTCCCGCAGCTCCCCAGAGGCCCGCACGTGCCCCAGGAGGCAGCGGCCACGTGGGTGTCCAACTTGAGCGCACTCCTTGCGGCTCAGGATCTCACGTTACCGGCCCTAAACCGGTGGTCGCCTCCCCGCGTCAGTTTTCCCCATTGCCGCTCCACCCCAGTTGCCTCCTGTGGTGGACAAACCGCTGGACAGAGCAGGAAGCCTGCCCCCTCGCCACTCCCTGGTGCTTTCCTGGACGCGGAGTAGGAAATTGGTGGGAGGCCTAGCCTGCCGGGGAGTACTGAGGGGGGCGGCGATGGGGAAGTTGCAATAGTCCGGCTTTGGTGGGCCTGGCACGAGAGGGTTGGGGAGTGCCCTGGAGCCTGAGGCAGGAGACTTATCAGCTTCGAACAGGAGTGTGTCTTGGTGCAGTAAACACATATGTTTACTCTGCAGGAATGGGGTGCCTGTTAGGCACAGCTCAGACCTGGCCACGACCCTAATAGGACTTGGGTGTGGGGATATCTAAGAGGGTAGCGACATTCCAGAAGGACTGGTGCTGGGGGACAAGTTCATTAAATGGTGCCAGCCCCAGATTTAGGAACCAAGGAATCCTGGAGGGGCTTCTGGGTGAATCGTGAGAAGGTGAAGAAGAGAGCACTATGCAGAGGGAAAAAGGGAGCAAATGAGGGAGGCTGGGCTGCTTTGACTGGTTAGGGTAGTAAGAGAGGAGGTGAACAGAGACCTGCATGCGTGCTGGACTTTGTCCAGCAGGCACGTGGAGTATTTAGTTCCTGAGAAGTGGGATCAGTCTGGTGACCGGACCCATCTGGGGCTCTGTTGCAGCAGCTGCCCTTGCCAAAGTCAGCCCCTGGCCCTGGGCAGAACCCACACACAGGAATGTACGTTTTGCTGACCCTGACGTTCTCCTGTGTTTACCTATTTTCTGGGGCTCATGCGGTCAGGGGCCACTCCACTTTCTGCATTTCCCAGGGTTAGGAGGGTGCTGTGTATGTCCATTCACCCAGGGCTAAAGGCCTGGGATGGTCAAGGGGGAGCCCAGAAGAGAGTATGCTTAAAGCCTGGGGCAGTCACCCACATCCACTAGGAGCTGGGCTTCTGCCCCAGGGCAGATAGGTGATGTTGGCCCACAGAAGAGCCATAACTAGTTGTTTGTTTAGTTATTGTCTTTACTTACTATACCAAAAGAGTCTTTTAGCATTTCTGTATTGCAGATGAAGAAATTGAGGGGGGTAAAGGCTAGACATTTGACTTGGTTACACCCCTTTTAAGATACGGAGCTGGAGGGCGCCTGGGTGGCTCAGTTGGTTAAGCGACTGCCTTCGGCTCAGGTCATGATCCTGGAGTCCCAGGATCGAGTCCCGCATCGGGCTCCCTGCTCGGTGGGGAGTCTGCTTCTCCCTCTGACCCTCCTCCCTCTCATGCTCTCTGTCTCTCATTCTCTCTCTCTCAAATAAATAAATAAAATCTTAAAAAAAAAAAAAAAGATACGGAGCTGGAATTTGAACGCTGTGTCTGTATATATTCTATATATACAAATCCTACAATTAAGCCCCTGATCTTTGCCCTGGCCATTTTTAGGCATAATCTGGGCTAGTGGCTGAGCTCCCCCAGGATTTGCCTAGAAATGCCCCCACTCCAGGCTCAGCCACAGGCTTAGGTGGGGCCTTTGCAGCCCCTTCTGCCTCTACCAGGCTCACAGTCTCCTTCTTAAAGCAGGCTGTAGTCTCAGGGAGGCTCTACTCACCAAGCCTGCCGGGTTTTCCTAGGCTGGGCCTTGTGCCTGATGTTCTCCAGCTGATGGACCTCATTCCCTTTCTCCTTCCTGGCTTAATGTCCCCTGCATCAACCCCAGTGCCTCCCACCTCAGTCTCTGTTTTCTTATCTGTGAGAGGGGCAGGATTCTATTCTTGTGGGGTTATGAGGTTGGGTGAGGTACCCCCCCCAGCCATCACTCATCAATGGAGGCAGGCCAAGTGCTACCACAAGTGTGTTCGACCCTCCCCAGGTGCCCGCAGCAGGACACAAGCTGACTCAGGTTCGAGTGAGGATGAGGCCGTCAGTGAGGCCCGCAGTACCACCAGTGAATGCCCCAGCCTTCTTAGCACCGCAGCAGAGGACAGCCTTGGTGAGAGCGGGTGGGAGTTCGGCAGGGACTCTGTGGGGATTCCCTGGGGTAGGGCAAGACGCAGGGCTGACCAGCTGGCCTTGCAGGGGGGGATGCCGTGGATGAGCAGGGCCAGCAGGAAGACCTTGAGGAGAAGTTGAAGGAGTATGTGGACTGCCTCACAGATAAGAGGTACCCCTGACTGCCAGCCAACCCCCACACCCGTGTCCCTGCTCAGCCCATGCCAAGTGTGACCCAGTAGGGCTGGCCCACAAGGTCCCCTCTCTTCATCCCCCAGTGCCAAGACCCGGCAGGGTGCTCTTGAGAGCCTTCGCCTGGCCCTGGCATCCCGCCTACTCCCTGACTTCTTGCTGGAGCGCCGCCTCACCCTGGCCGATGCCTTGGAAAAGTGCCTCAAGAAAGGTTGGGCCCTGGGGGCTCATGGGAGACCTGAACTGGCTGGGTACTGACCCTTGCTACATGGGCTGACCGGAAAGCCTTCCTGCAGGGAAGGGCGAGGAACAGGCGCTGGCCGCTGCCGTGCTAGGCCTGCTGTGTGTGCAGCTGGGCCCTGGACCCAAGGGCGAGGAGCTCTTTCGCAGCCTGCAGCCCCTCCTGGTGTCTGTGCTCAGTGACGGCACAGCTAGCCCTGCTGCCCGGCTTCACGTGAGTGTTTCAGGCTCGGTGACACTCTCCCTCCCCTAGTCCCCGAGCAGAAAGGAGGTGGGTTCCACCTGCCTTCAGGCTCCCCTACTCTGAGGGTGAGACCTGTGGCCGGGAACCCAGGCTCACTCTCTGACCGTGGCATGGCTTTGCCCCCCTTCCCACAGTGCGCTTCTGCTCTTGGCTTGGGGTGCTATGTGGCTGCTGCCGATGTCCAGGTAAGTGGTCTCTGGGCACAGGTAATAGAGCACCTAGACCCTAGCTCTGCCCCTGAGCCATTCCCACTGGCTCCCTGTGTCCCTAGGACCTGGTGTCTTGCCTCAACTGCTTGGAAAGCGTTTTCAGCCGGTCCTGTGGTGTGGGTGGCTCCACGGCCCCCGTGGTCTCTGCCAGCCTGCATGGCCTGCTCTGCGCTGCCCTACAGGCCTGGGCATTGCTCCTCACTGTCTGCCCCAGCGCCCACGTCAGCCACATCCTGGACAGGTAAGAGCGACTGCTCACTGCGAGTGGGAGGGGAAAGGTGACGAGGCCCCCCAGCCCACACGTAGCTCAGCCTGCCCCTTCCCCAGGCAGCTGCCCCGGCTGCCCCAGCTCTTGTCCAGCGAAAGCGTGAACCTGCGAATTGCTGCCGGCGAGACCATCGCACTGCTCTTTGAGCTTGCCCGGGACCTTGAGGTGTGAGGGGGGGTGGGGGGAAGGGAAGGGAGGGGGCCTCCTGACACCACCTGGCCAACCGAGGCTGGAGGCAGGGGACGCCGCAGGAGATAGGGCAGCCTTAGGTCATGACGGAGGGGAGGTAGCCCTAACACAGACTCAGACACCGGGTGCCGCGGTGGGGGCTCTGAGCAGGGGTGTCTGGCCCATTAGGGGCCAAGAAGGGATTCAGGGGGACCAGGCGGAGGAGGAAGCCACTTCTTCCGTGAGAGGAAGGGTTTGGGCAGCCCCGTGTGAGAGCCTGCAGAGCCTGGGCCCCCGCTCACACACCCTCCGTTGCTCGCACTGCAGGAGGACTTCCTGTACGAGGACATGGAGGCCCTGTGCAGCGCCCTGCGGACCCTGGCCACCGACAGCAACAAGTACCGCGCCAAGGCTGACCGCCGGCGTCAGCGCTCTACCTTCCGCGCCGTGCTGCACTTCGTGGAGGTACGTGTGAGAACGTGTGTCCTGGGGAGAGTGCTCCCCGGACACCGCCGCCAAGCCCTAGTCTGTGGGTCCCTCTACGCTGCAGGGCGGTGAGTGTGAGGAAGAGTCTGTCCGCTTTGGCCTCGAGGTGCTCTATGTGGACAGCTGGGCCCGGCGCCGTGTCTATGCCGCCTTCAAGGACGTGCTGGGATCAGGCATGCACCACCACCTCCAGGTGGGAAGACGGACAGGCAGGGGGTACCCAGCTTGGCTCTTTTGGACCAGCCTGAGCTCACTGCCCGTTTTGTCCCCCAGAACAACGAGCTACTCCGTGACATCTTTGGCTTGGGCCCCGTGCTGGTGCTGGATGCCACTGCCCTGAAGGCTTGCAAGATCTCACGTTTTGAGAAGGTCTGCACCCTTGGGCACCTTTCTCTTCCCTCCGCTCCCATGGCCTCGAGGCCCGGAGCTCTGCAGGGGCTGGGGGGAAGGGCCTGGGCCTCCCGTTCCCCGGCTCACCGGAGCCTCACTCCTGCCCCCGCTCCAGCACTTGTACAACGCTGCTGCCTTCAAAGCGCGGACCAAGGCGCGCAGCCGCGTGCGGGACAAGCGGGCCGACGTCGTCTGAGGCGGAAGGGGAGACCGTGCGCGCCCGCGCCTGCGTTTTTAACAGAAGACACTGCAACAACTGGTCCCTGCCAGGAATTGGCGCTTTATTTTTTTAATGACAAAAACCAAAAACAGACACGGCGGTGGGGGGGAGGGGGGTTGGCGGCCAGGGCAGTCGGGGTCCTGGCCCCTTGCCCCTGCACACGGCGCTGTGGCCTCTCCCCGCCCTGTCCCAGGCCCGGCCAGATGTGTGCTTGTCCCAGAGCTGGGGGGCACACAGTAGGAGGGCTCTCCTTTTCTCTCCTTTCTCGGGCCCTGCTCCTCTGGGATGACCCACTTCCTTGAGGGGGATGGCATCTGCACAAACGGCACCAAAACAGGCGGGGACACGAGGCTACCTGGAATGGATCTATATGCTGATTTTTAAAGATTATTAGAGATAATTAAACTGAATGCTCAGCCTTCTGTGGCCCTTAGCTCTGGGTGTTTCTGCCTGCCCTCCCACCCACCACCGCCCTGGGCCTCCCCCCACCATCTCCATCTCACCATTGCCCTCCCAGCCCGTCTCCTCAGGTGGCCCTCCTCCCTGTACTCGGAGCTCTGCCTGCTTGAGTGCTGCGGCTGGACCCCCACTGGGAGGCCTGGCAGAGTTTGGGCAACTGGGGTGGGGGCAGCTATTTCTAGACTTAAATCTGCTGTCTGCGGGAAGCCAGAGGCTGCTGACAGGCCATGGAAGGAGCCAGGAGGCTGGTGTAACTTCCTCTGACCTTGGGCCACCCAAAGCAGGGCCTTGGCACCAGAAAACCTGGCCAGGCCTGGCCTGAAGACAGGAGAGGCGGGTAGCTGAGGGGTCAGGTTAGTCTCTTATACAAAACCTCACCAAGGAAGCAGTGTGGAGCCATGGGTAAGGAGAAACCTGCTTTGGCCACTTTATTCCCGCGCCCCCCCCCCACACCCCCCTAAGCCCCGGGTCTAAGTGGTATCTCAGCTGGGTGTTTGGGCCTCACTGGAGTTGAGCCTCCGCAGCTGGCTGAGGCTGGCAAGCCGGAGTTTGAGTAGCGTCTCCTCCTGGGTGTGCAGGGTGTACGCCAGCATGCGGAGGGACTCACTCTGCAGAACTGGGGACAGGCGGGGGCGGGGGATTATCAGACCGCGGGCCGCCCCCCAGCTCCCCACCCTTTGCTGCCTCAGCGGGCAGCTGCCCCCTCTGACCGTGCAGAAGGACCTTCGGGTCCCCGCTCCTTGCCCTCGGTTCCCACTTGCTTCCCACGCTGGCCCCCCGTACCGCTCAGGTAGACGGCCAGGATGGCGAGCGCCAGGCAGCTGAGCGCCAGCAGAGCCAGCAGCACCAGGACGCCTCCCCTGCCTTGCCTGGGGCCGCAGCCAGCCTGGGCGCACAGTGATGGTGGCAAGATGCCCAGGAGCTCGTCCCATGGCTGCGCCGCCTCGGCCGGGTAGGGGCGCAGCGAACCTGGGGGGCAGATGGGGCATCAGGAGGATAGGGGTCGTATCTGCCCTCCTCCCCTCTCCCAGTACATCTGTCCCGCTGCCCTGCCCCGCTCACCTCCGCCGTGGAGGTCGCTGATGGACTCCACCTGGTGCAGGCGCACTTCCTGTATGTGGTTGGGGGCCAGTGGCGCCCTGCTCCTGGGGCTCGGTGTCAGTGCCACGGTGTCTGCTGGGACAGTGCAGGGCTGATTCAGCCAGCAGGTCACCCCCCTCCCTTCTTTGAGGTGGCTTCCAGTAGCAGCGGGACTCAGAGAAGATGGGAAAGGACAAAGGGACATTGGCTCCAAATGCCCTGAAACCCAGCTCAGGAGTGACCCTTGATGTGGAGCCAGGATGACCTCAGAACCCCACAGGCCTGTTAACACCCACAGTAGCAGGAGGCACATTTGACTTGCTCACTTTTGTTTGCTCCCAAGCACCGCAAAGACTTTCAGGCATTCCTCAAGAACTTACCAGCCTTGGAGGACTAAACCCATGGCGCATGAAATTCCTCCCTGCCTCTGATGCTATCAGTTTTCCCTGCAGACCCTGCGAGTTAGCCATCAGGCCAGATCCAGGGCCTGGTACCTTGGCATGCCCAGCAGAAGCAGCCCCTTCCTAGCTGGGTGCCGCTTGTCTCTTGTGGCCTTAGCTCTGCTTTAACGGCCTCCGCGAGATTTGTGATTCAGCTGTACTTCTGGGAACCCTGCTGTTCCTGCTGTTTTCGCTCCTGCTGTTTTCGCTCAACATCCTAACAGGAGACCTGCCTTTGTTATCAAGCTGTCGCACATGTTTCTGAGGCCTCCCTTTGAGGCTGCCTGGGCATTTAGGTTGTTTCCAGTTCCCTTCAGAAGTTAATAACCCCGAGGAAAGGACATGCATCAGTGAGTATGAAGGTTTTTCCCAATTTCCTAATCGTTAATAAGGACAGATTCCTAGAAGCAAAATTACTGGCTTAAAGAGCAGGGGCTTTTTCTTTAAGCCGTCATCAGACCGTCCTTCAGAATGACTGTCCATAGCCCCCAGAAGGGTACATCGCCACCATTAGGCTTTTTCATTGAAAAAAAAATTACAGGGGCGCCTGGGTGGCTCAGTTGTTAAGCGTCTGCCTTCAGCTCAGGTCCTGATCCCAGGGTCCTGGGACCGAGCCCCGCATCGGGCTCCCTGCTCCATGGGAAGCCGGCTTCTCCCTCTGCCACTCCCCCCTGCCTGTGTTCCCTCTCTCGCTGTGTCTCTCTCTGTCGGACAAATAAATAAAATCTTTAAAAAAAATCTGAGCTACCCAGGTGCCCCCCCCCAAAAATCTTAAAAAAAAAGAAAAATTACATACATACATGTGTACACATATGTTTGCCAAACTGGGAGATGAGGAAAGGCCTTTGACCTATTCAGTGGGGTTTCTTTGCCTAAAGTGCCTTCCTTATCCATTCCCGGCCTCTGCCCACTTAGTCACTGGGGTCTCTGTACTTTTCTTGTGATTTTACTTTATTTTTAGACCCATCAAAAGTATTTTGTGATTTCTAAAAATTATATTTTACGTCTTTTCCTTTTTTTTTTTTTTTTAAATCTTGGCCCCTTGAATCTCCAGATACCCAGCTGGATGCTAGATAACAAAGTAGGGGGGGGGCATTGAGGGAATGCCTTCTGATAGGGGCAGGGGTGATTGGACTCTCTATCACTTTCAGAACAGTAACTCAGCCTTTGTGATTTGTTTGAAACTGGCCCTTGACGTGTCCCAAAGTAAAATGAGATGCTGCCAGTCATGTTTGGGTGATGGGTTGGGGGTCATATTAAATTCCTCTCTGCACTTGGCTCTGCTTCCTCACACTTTTTTTTTATATTTATTTTAGAGAGAGAGTGTGTGCCTGTGCACACGGGTGGGGGGAGGGGCAGGAGAGGGAGAGAATCTCAAGCAGGCTCTGACTCTCTGCTGAGCGCAGAGCCTGACACAGGGCTCAGTCTCACCACCCTGAGATCATGACCTGAGTAGAAATCCAGAGTTGGCCACTTAACGGACTGAGCCAATCAGGCGCCCCTTCCCCACACTTTCTAAGTTGAACTTGGTTTCTGTTCATTCCCAGGAAAAACGTGGTAAACATCGTTATTAGGATCCCAAAAGGAGGCAAACATCCCCCACCACTACTGGAGGCTAGGCGCCCCCCATCCAGTTGAAATGTTGAATATGTGATAAGGGAGTTGGCCAGCTGGGCCAGGCTGGAGCAGGGAGCAGCTGGTCATCCCTGCTCTGGCCCCTCTGAGCCTCGGTACTTCTTGCATGCAGGGGGGCAGTTAGGGGAGTGGCCACTAAAGTCTTAACTAGCTATCAGTAGAGCCAGGCCAAGGGATCCCAACTAATGGTTGGGTCCATTTAGGCTCAAGTCAGAGGAGGCCAGAGATCTATCCACTCCCAGTCTCTGGGCCACATGCGCAAATGCTTCCTGGGACCGAGGCCCGACGGATCCCAGCTTCCTCCCTGAATGAAGAGCTGAACCGGCCAGTGTCTGCCCTGCCCACACCCACTTGGACACGGCCTGTAGTTGACGAGGTGGCTCCCCCCAATCCCTCCCTGTCCTTAGCAAGGGAGACAGGCAGGGCCCGAGGGGGAGGTGGGGTTCCAGACGTGGTAAGCCCTTTCTCCATGCATGGGGGGCAGGTCCCTTTACTCATGCTGGGACATGGTGATTGATGACTAGTCAAGGAAGTGAGGTCAGCGGGATGGGGCAGGGTTGCTCCGTGATTCACGGGGTCACAGGACTGGGGCCTTGCCCTCCCCCATAATCCTCTCCTACCTTCTTGGGTCTCCTCAGGCATGGCACGCGGTGGGCAGTTGGGGGGCTGATAATAACACCCAGTAGCAGGACAGATGAAGGCAGCGGTGGCTCCTCAGAGCCTGGGGAAGGCTAGCCACCTCCCAGCCTGGGCCCAAAATAGGCCTGAGCTCAGCCCACTGGGCTATATTTAGAGGGGGCAGCTCTCAGCCACGGGAATGGGCGGAGTGACCCACATGGGCCAGCCTGGACTATCTAGCTGGTGATGGAGCTCCACTCATGCAGGTGTCCAGGGTCTTTCCTGGGGAACCCTGCCACCCCCATATATGCATAGGCCTTGGTGTCTTTATCCAGACAAGCTGCCTCATGCTCACCTCCAGCAATGCCCCACATGGCAGCTGAGACCTGTGCCTCTCCACCCCCAAAGACCCCTACTCCAAGTTGGGTCATCTCTACTCCAAACAAATGGACAAGCACCTATATCCGTGTGACCTGCTGGCCCCAGGGATTGGGGTGATGGATAACGAGCCCGGGCCATGAGGGCCCCCAAAGGGGGCGGCGGAGACACACCTATCCACGCAGGCACTCATGTTGGTCAGTGGGCAAACTTAGATTGAAGATTGGGATTTCTATTAATAAGCTTACAAGCTTGGGTAAGGGATTGCCCCCTCTCTGACCTCCATTTTCTCATCTGTAAAACAGGAATGACAATGGTTCCTCCCTGGCACGGGACACATGAGAATGGAAATACAGCCACATGTCGGAAGCCCTTAGCACAATGCAGTTTAGATTCTTCCTCCTCTCCAAGGGTATACAAGTCACCAATGTGTGAGGAGGCATGGTATCACTTACCCTTGAAGGGAGGAAGTGGCTAGGTTTAGGGCCCACCCTCTGCTATGGGACCCCCTAAGGCCCTCCCTCCCAACTGGGACAAAGCAAGACAATGAGCTCTACCTCCTTAAGCATCCCAAATCCATCACTTCACTGTATCACTGGCCTCCTTAATGTTCCTGACACACAGCCACCTTGTTTCTGTCTCAGGGCCTTTCCACTGGCTGTCCCTTCCTAGAATGCTCTGCCCCCAGATACTCCCATGGCTGGCTCCTTGTCATTTCGCTCAAATGTCACCCCCTCATTGATGCTATCTCACGTTATTTTACATATCACCAAATTTCATTTTCTTCATAGCACTCAGCCAAGAAATCCTATTATTCAGAATACACTGTGTATGTCAGTAGGACCCCAAAAGGCCCCACAGAATCCACTCGGTCACATGAAAACCATCTTTAGTCCTCCCCACAGCATCCTCAGCAGAAACTGAGGTCTTGAGACCACGAGGAAGTTGCCCAAGGCCACACAGCAAGACCTGGCACCCGGGGTTGTGCGCTGGAGCCGTTCCAGCTTCGGCTGATAATGTATTTATTGCATTAGTACAATCGGCCTGACCCACCCCACCCCCCACCGCTCAGCCTGTTCACAGCTTTCTGCTCATTGCCCAGGGAGGAGGGCCTTCCCCCGGGGTGGGCACTCCGGGCACCTCCTCCGCCCAGGTCGTTGCTCTGGAGCCCTGCTTCTCTGCCTCCTCAGGATCAGCAGGACCCTGTGCCCGGCCCGGGCCGCCCCTCCCAGCGCTACATTCAAGGGTTATCCTCTGTTAATAAATAAGCCGGCGAGGCAGCCCCGCGGCCAGGGCCTGTCGGTCGGTGGGTCGGTGTCTCCATCGGCCAGGGACCAGGGTGCCGGGCCCCCTAGCCGTGCGTCCCCCAGGATCCGTCCTCCCGCTCCCGCCTGGAGTCTCCTTCCCTGTGCCCAGCGTGGAGGCCGAGTCACCAGCGCGCGGCGCTGCGCGGCCCCCGCTCAGCGCGCGGCTCGGGGGCGTGCCTTCGGCGGTTTCGGCCCTTCCTCCGCGACTCGGGAGGCGGTGGGCGAGACTCGGGCGGCAGACGACACATTCGCAGGGAACTAGCGCCACCGCCGCCCGGCTCCACCAGCTGCAGGAAGTCCCGGTACCAGAGCTTGGGGCCCGGAGGGGCGACGGGCGCAGCCTCCTCGGCCCGGGCCAGCCTTTCGGCCTGCGCGGCGCCCAGCACGTGCAGCGCCAGGCGACGCAGCGGCTGCGAAAAGCCCTGCTCCACAGCGGCGCACAGGTACACGCCTGAGTCCCCGCGCCGCAGCCCGCGCAGCAGCAGCCCCCGCGGCAGGCGCTCGGCGCGCTCCTCCACAGCCACCTGCGGGCCGGGCCAGAGGGAGGCGTGGGCGTCAGGGTCGGGAACAGGGAAACCCGGCTCCAGGCCGGGCCAGGAGAGGCGGCCGAGCGGGAGCAGGAAAGGGCGCCCGCAGGTGCACATCTGGAGACTGGGTGCACTGGGACCGGTGGTCTAAAAGTGGATCCCCGTACGGGGCGGGTTCACCTGCACATGGCGGGGGGGGGGGGGAGGGGGGCAGGGAGCTCAATAGGCGGGGCGGGGGCGGGGCTCCTCTCGGATGGGGTTGGGGGTGAGACGGAATGAGGCCTCAACAGGGTGTGGAGTGCAGGTAAAGGGACCAAACTGGACCTAGGGGCCTGGTTGAGCGGAGTCTCACTGGGCGGGGCCAGACCTGGTCTAGAGGTGGGAGGAGGCCGAGGGCCTCATTGGCTAGGGCGGGGCCTCTCCTGGATGTAGGGGCGGGACAAGGGCCTGTTGAGGAGGGGAGCGGCAGGAGGCTCACCTGGGTGCGCGCCGCCTCCCCTGCGCGCTGGAAGGTCCATTCCACTCGTGCCTGCAGCGAGCGGGGCTCACACTCCAGGAGGGCGCTGCCGCCTTCCACACCGAACACCTTCCGCTCCAGCAGTGTGGGACGGGACGAGTCTGGGGAGGGCAAGGGATTTGTCAGAGTCAGGCAGGGCAGGGCAGGATGGGGCGTCTTCAAAGGCCGAGAAGTGGGGGCAGCTGGGGCACTCACCCCCTGAGCACAGCGTACTGGGGTCGCCGTTCTTCACGTCTTGCCGCCGAAACCGCCTGCGGGGAGGTGGGGGGCAACATGGAATTTCCATGAGCCCTTCTTCGCTTAGCCGGTGCGGCAAAGGACTCCGGGTGGCCCGCCCCCGACCCTGCCCACCTTTTAGCGCTGGGCTGGAAGCGCGTGCACGCGGCCCCGTCCCAGGCGCAGTAAGGGTCACGTGCCAGGCAGCATTCGGCGCAGGCGCGGCCGTGGGCAGCACAGCGGTGCAAGGGGATCTGGGCCACCGCGCTCCGCGAGGCTACGTACAGCTGGTGCTAGGGGGCACGAGGGGCTCCGGGCTGACCAAAGGCAGCCCTGTGCCCGCCTCCCATGGGCAGAGATCCCTTACCCCACTTGACAGATGGGAACACTGAGGTCTCAGGTCACGCAGTCTAGCGAAGGCAGAACCTATACTCAAACCCGGGGCTTCGAACTACCAAGGGAGGCGTGGGGGTGGGGGCACCCGGGGAACGCACTGGGTCCCTTTTATCCCCAAGCCTTCTGGTCACTTACTCTCTTGGAAGAGATTTGCATGCTGGTGATAGCAGCTGAGTCCTGAGAGGGAGGAGGAGTGCTGGGATCAGGGATCAGTGGGGTGGGGTTACTCCAGGGAGGCGGGTGGGGCGGGGGGAGCTAGGCCTCACCTCAAACACGTGCAGCTCCTCCAAGAGCAGGCCCTCCCCGTTAGGCCGGCTGCCCTTGGGGACCGAGATCACCTTCAGCACTGTGCCAACATCTGCAAGGATGAGAAGGAGTGAGTGACTCCTTGCGTTCCCTGATAGCTAGGGCTGGGGGTGTCCTCACTTCTGAGGCCTTTACCCTCAGCATGGTTGGGTGGGTGAAGAATGTGGGTTGGAACAATAAGAGCAGCATCCAGAAGGAGATGGGGGCATAACCCAGGCAAAGATGTGGAGGTGAGACTGGACAGGGGCAGCTTCTAGTAACCGGCCAGAGTCTAGACTGGGTTTAATGGGTGATCATGGCAGGACACTGACCTGTGCCAATGAAGAGGACGTCGTAGTGTCCGTCAGCAGCTGCCACATGGTCTGCAGTGATCCGGGTGAAGGTGTACCCGGCACCCACTTGTAGGAAGAGAGGGCGCCCACCCACAGGCAGGACCGAATTGTACATGAGGGGGTGCTTCCGGGCAAACTGAATGACGTCATCAGGAAAGTCCTTGGTGGAACTGAAGGTGCCAAAGGTCTTGCTGGGGCACTGAGCGGTGGGGAGGAGGCGCGACAGGGATGTGGGTATGAGGGTCTGGTGGGCCCACAAGAGACCTCCAGGAACTGGGAGTGTGTGGGGGTGCTAACGGACAGAGCCTTGCCCTGGGAATCTGAAGGGAGAAGACCCAGCCTTGCCCTTGGGAGTCTTAGGCAGAAATGTGGCCTTTCTTTTAGAAGCCCTGCCTGATGAAGGTGATGTTTATCCACCCAAGGATAACAAACAAGAGGAAGAAACCACATTCACCAAGAAGGTCCCAGGCCAAGTTCTCCACCCCTGAGACTTTAAGTGGGTTGTGGTGGGAATCCTGGGGCTACGCACCATGCCTGGCCGGGGGTAGGGGACACGGCCCTGATAGGACACCCACTGGTGCAGGGGCCCTTCCTTGTGTGCAAAGGGCCCCAGGAAGGCACGGCGCACATCGTTCATGCTGTACACGCACACTGCAGAGCCTTGCAAGACGGTGCTGTAGGCGAAGGCATGAGCAGAGTGAGGGGCCCCGCAGAGCCGGCCAGCCCCGCCCGCGACTTCGTGCCCCTCACCTGGATGTGGAGAAGGCGGCATAGAGCAGCGGGCTCCAGCGGTCCCTCAAGGACAGCAGGAACACATCCTCTGTGGGGAAGGGGCCTAGTTGGGGGAGGGCACACAGCCCTCCGGGCGGCCGGGCTCCTGGGTCTGGGCCCCTGCGCTCCCTCTCCCCAACTCCACCCTCCATTCCGGGCACTCACGGAGCTGGTCGAAGTGCGTGTCACCCTCGACACCTGGCACAGAGCACACCAGACGCGCCTTCAGGAACGTGGTCCACTTGTTGACCAGGCTGCGCTGGCCGCCCACGTCATTCTGCAGGGTCACACAGAGGGCATGAGGCGGAGGCCCAGAGAGGCAAAAGGGCAGGGGCGCGGTCACCGGATGTGGCCCAGGGACTCCTCACCCGACAGATCTGGCCAACACGGGACACAGACAGGCGTCCCAGCGCTGGTGCAGCCTCCACTGCCGACTCCCGGAAGAAGAAGTAGACCTTGTCATCGTCGGGATTCTCGCTCTCCGGGATCCAAAAGACCTTGACAAACTTGGGCTCTAGCGGCAGGAGGTGTGAGGTCAGCAAGGTCCTGGCCCTGCACTCGTGGGACCCATACGCTCCCTCTCCTAACTCTGGTGCCCCCAGAAGCCTGTGGGGCGGCATCTGAGCACCCAGTCTCTAGGACCAAGTTCATTGGGATGGATGGCACTGCACGCGGACAGGATCCGGAGGATCAGGACCTGTGAGTCAAGAAGCAGCCACGAGAGGGCAGCAGAGACCGAGACTACCTGGACAGCAAGCCTCTGCCCTGGCCCCTGACAGCTCCCCAGGCCAGTGGGCCAAGAAAGGAGGGAGATGGCGGATCAGTTGTACCCGCACTCATGAATCTTCCTATTGAGCAGGAAGCAGATGCCCCCATTCTGCTCCGTCCCCTCACTCTTAGAACAAATGACTTGGACCCTGACAGCGCAGACCCCTTCTCCTTTCTCCTCTCATGGGTCTGTCTGTTCCTTGGCTTCTTCCTACCCGGGGTTCTTTGCACTGGTTGTCCTTTCCCTCAATCCTGCTGTGCTTTGGGAATTAGCTCACCCCCTCTCATCAGCAGAGGGGCTTCCTCTCTTGTTCTCCCACCTGGTCTCCTTTTCCCTTTCTGTCTGTGCACTCACCAGTCTCGCGGCCATTGGAACCGATCTTATGATGTATTTGTTCTGAGTTCTGTGAACTCAAAGAGGGTGCGGGCCACACATCTTGTCTGCCCTGCAACCCCATTACCTGGCACAGGACTGACGCATGGTAGGTACAGTGAGACCCGGCTGCACCCACTGCTCACTTCCGTTATGGGCCTTACTCGGCACCTACCCTGTTGGGGATGAGGGCCCCTCCCAAAAGCCCCACCAGCCTCTCACCGTTGAGCCAGCGGGAGTCGTGTGGTTCTGTCCGGAGACTTGGACGCTGGCCCAGGCTGCGGAAGATGGTGAAGTCCCGGCCCATGAGGTCTGCAGCCACCCCTGAGTACAGTTCTTCTCCTGCAGACAGGGCGAGCGCTGTTCAGCCAATCTGAAGGCTCTCGGTGGGGTCGGGGGGTGCTTGGAGAGCTCTGGGAGCTCCTTGGGAGTCAGTGAGGCCATGGGGGATCCCTGGGGCTCTCAGGAGGGTTGAGAGTCTCTGAGGGGCCCTAGCCTTCGGACTCACCCACCAGCACGGAGGCAGCCCGATGCCTCGGGTCATAAGGACTCTTGCCCTTGCCGTCCTCTAGCCTTCGAAGGTCCAGCCGGAGTATGGGCTCCTGGGAGGCAGGGGGCAGTTGTTCCTTTCAGGCCCTTCTTCACCTCCCAGCCTCCCTCTCTGCCCAGATCTGGCCTTACCTCCAGCCGGTGGCCCACCTCCACAAATGCACAGGTTGGGTGGAAGGCCCCTGTGCCACAGGCCAGCAAGTGGGTGCGGTTGTAGGCGTGCAGCAACTTCACGAAGTTCATGCACTCAGTCTAGTGGGCGGGCAGGGCCAGGGACAATGAGGCCTCCCCCAGGGAGGCAGGCTTAAGGGGTCCCAGCTCACCAGTGGCACCTCACCCCTTCCTCTCTTCTGCGTCAGTCCAGGCAAGCACCAACATGGGCCGCAGCGACCTGCGTGCCCTTGGTGACCAGCCCAGCCCACCTCTCACCATAAGGGGTGCATGGAAAAGCATAGGCCTGTACTGCCCCCTATGACTCAGAGGCCCCCAAGAAGAATCACATGAGCCTCCACCCTGAGTCACTACCTCCAAACTTCAGCCACCTCGACCCCCTGCCCCCATCCCAGCCAGAACAGGCAGGCCTCTGTCTTAGTGCTGCTGTCTTGTAAAGCGCGAGGGGCTGGCCTCCCCACTCCCACCCCCGGCAGCCGGCACTCACACCAATGTCCTTCCCCGCCCAGTTGCACTCCTCTCGCCATTCCACGGGGGCCGGCCAGGCCAGCTGCAAGGAGGTCGGGGGGAAGGGGACACAGGTCAGGGCCTTTGCATGTCTCTGAGCAGAGGGTGTCTTCTCAGGGGGCCCATCCCCCTGTGTCTCTCCAAGCAGTCTGGAGTGGGGTCCTGGGGCTCTTTCCCTAGGAAACGCCGAGGCTGGGGGTCCCTGGCACCTTCTTGGCCCGCTTGCTGATATTGTCCAGGCTGAGGGAGGCCACATGGTTCTCGGCGCCCACAAACAGGCGTCCTCTTTCCTCATCCACCAGCAAAGCTTCGTAACAGCAGGTCCTCTCTAGCCTGAAGGTCCGGAGACCGTGCCGGGCCTGGAGCTCTGCAGGGTAGGGACACCACTGAGGATTTGCCAGCCATGCTGGAAGCTTCCCCGAGACCCTGCCTGTCACTCTCACAGATCATGGTTGTACATGTGACCTGGCCCACACACATGTGAGTTTACACGTGTGTGAGTTTACACTCGTGAAGACAGGCCCACCCATGTGTGAAGCTTCCATGGTGGGCAGTGCAGCAACCCCCCAAGGGGAAAGCAGGTTGAACTCCTCGGGCAAGCTTGGACAAGCAGTGTCTGCAGGCGGGCGCATGGGGAGGCCAGGGTGCCAGGGGAGGCCGAGCATGTCTGGAAAGCCAGAACTGCAAACCCAAAGTCGGGCTGAGGGTTCTCTGCCACCAGCCTGAGCTCAGTGAGATGCCACTGCCTAGTGACCGGTGACCGCCCTCCCGCGTAGGGGCGTGGGAAGGGGGCTCTGGCGGGCACCACACCTCAGCTTCCCTGGGGGTGGGTCGTGGATGGGACACAGGCAGGATCTGTTGCCGTGGGAACGGAAGGGGTCTTCCTGGGAAAGCAAGAGGAGAATGTGCGCGCAGAAAGTTTGGGGGCTGAGGCCAGGACAGGGTTAACTGGAGATGGCCTGAGAGTGCCCCCAGTCACACCCGGGCCAGTGGCACAGGGCAACAGCAAACGCAGTGCCCCCTACCCACATTGGGCCCCTCTCCTGCCCACCCTGAGCTGAGCCCTCCCGCCTGCCAGGTGCACCTACCTTGGAAGGAGAGCCGAAGGCGTGGGGGGCTGGGGCTAGCATCCCCCAGCACTGCCGCCCAGAGCAGGGCCAGGCCCAGGATCATGGCGGCCGCCCCGGCCCGCCCCATCCTGGCGGCTCAGGGTGCTCCGGGTTCAGCGGGCGCGTGTGGAGGAGCCTTGAGCCGCCCTGGACTCTGCCCCAGGATCTGGAAGAGAAGGAGCTACAGCAAGGACGAGGGCGGGAGGCTGGGGGGGGGGGGGGGGAGTCCCCAGGGATCAGATTACAGCCCCTAGGGGAAAGAGGCTGGGGGGTCGCATTCCACTTCCGAGCTCTCCCCTCCCTCAGAGTGTGCCCTGCCTGGCCACAATCACAGACACACCCACGCTGGGCAAACCCTCGGGGTCACCCCCACACTGGCAGGCGCCCGCCCCACCACGTCACCCTCCCCAGGAACCCCCCCCACACACACACAGGCATTAATTCACAAACTCTATGCGCCTACCCCACGCCAGCCTGGGACACAGGGGGACACAGACAAGGTCCCCATGCAGGAGGGGGCAGAATGCCAACAAGGACTCAGATCAGTGCAGTCATTTCAGAGGACGCCCTGTGCGATGAGCAAAACAAGCCAGTCCTGGAAGTGAGAGCGGCCGGAGGGAGTCAGGCCTCGGTGGTGGCTGTGGACCCAGGGCCTACAGAGAAACAGAGGCACCTTTGGGGCTGGAGCTGGGGCCAATGGTGTGGGCGCCTGTGAGTTTGAGTGTTCCTGAGGGTCGCTTTGTGTGCGTGCGTGCATGTGTGTGTGCGTGTGTGTGTATGTGTGCGTGCGTGTGTATGCAGACAGGTGTGTTCATGCCTGTGACCGCGTGTGGCACGAGTGTTGTATTACACGTGTAGGTACATGGCATGCGTGTGCACTTTGCGTACGTGTGTACATGTGTCATACACGTGTGTGTGTGCGATTGTGTGCACGCACACATGTGTGCGTCTCTCTGGACATGCAGGTGAGCAAATACAACCACAGCGGCAATCACTGCCTTCAACTCTGAGACTCGCCTGAAAGCCCCTCCTCCGAGGAAGAAGTGTGTGCAGGAGCCCCAAGGCTTGTGCCCCCGTCCTGGGCTGGACGGAAGCCTCCGCTTCTGCCTTGGAGGTGGCTCCCACTCGGATATAGCAGCCCCAGCTTCGCGCTTGACCTCTCCCTCCCCACCCAAGCCTGGAAGGGGCTGGTTACGCAGAAATTCTGTGAGCTCAGACTTCAGACCCAAGAGGAATCAAGTGGGGGGAGAGCCAGGGGTCTCAGGCAGCCTCTCTACCACACTGCAGGTGAGCTGCCCGTCCCTCTCTGGGCCTCCCCCGCCTCCGCGCCTCTCCCTCCCCTGCCTTCGCCCTCAGCCTTCCCCATCTTTGAGCCCCTCCACCTCTGCGCCAGAGCCCTTCCCCTGAACCCCTTCCGTGGAGCCAGCATCTGGCCACAATGCCCTTCGTCCTTCCCAGAGCTGGCTGGGCAGGTGCTGGGCACAGGAGCCCTGGCATGGGGCAAGGTCCTGGGGTGCCGTCAAGCAAGGGGCACAACTGCCAAGGCACGTTTCAGATCGCTCCCCACCCCCAAGCCCCTGCCCAGTTCCGCAGCTCCCGGACCCCTCCCGGGCTAGGACTCCCACCTCCCGCCGTCCCTCCACTGACACTTGCCACTGCTTCCGAGCCCGTGAGCTCTGCGATGCCACAGAAACCCGGCTGCCTTCCCACACTCCACCAGAACTCCGGCGGCCGTGCCTCTCCACCCCAGCCCCACCCGCCCTGGAGGAGGGGAGAAGCCTGGGGACCGCGGGGCACCCTCTGACGGCTCCTTTAAGGAGCAGCCCCCGCCTCCACCAAGCCGGCCGCCGCCCCACGCGCCGTCAAGTTTACGGGGTGGATCGGGTGACCAGGCAGGCAGCCTGGGTCAGCAGAGTTGGTGGGCCGGCCAGAGTGGAGCGGGCACAAGGGAGGGGCGACCCCTTCCCTGTCAGGCCTCAGGGCAATAGGGTGCGCCCAACAGCGGTCCAGCCCAGCCCAGGGCGGCCAGGCAAGGCGCAGGAAGAAGAAGAAGCCAGATAGGGGGCCCCCTCCCCAGCCCCAGATGGCTCTGGGAACAGGCAGAAGGAACAGTAGGTCCAGGGGACTCGAGGTCCTCACCTGTCCCGACACAGCTGGAGAGCTGGAGGCGGGTAGTGAGGGGCTCAGCTGGGATGGGAGGGTTGGAGGGCCGGGCAAGAGGTTCTCGGGTGGAGGTCTGATGGGCCCCCTGTTCCGCCCCAGGCCTTCCTCACCACTTGAGCCGCTTCGTGCTGCCACCACCTGGCTGGCAGGGGCTGGGATGGCAGCAGTTGGGGCGGGAGGAGAGGGCCAGGCAGGCAGTCAGCAGATGGCAGAGGCCCACACGTTTCACGTCTGCACGGCAGGATGGAGGCCCATCCAGAGACCCCCTCCTGATAGGCGGTCCTGCATCTCTGCTGGGAGGTGAGGGGCATTCTGTGTGACCTGGGTGACTCAGGATGGGACCTCGGGGCCTCAGCTGGGAAGGGTCTTGGGATCTTGGCCTGAAGCTGAGTCTGGTGGACGACCCTATTCGTACTGCTAGGGGTCTACTCTGAAAGGGCCGAATGTTAACCATGGCTGAATGGGGCCCTCAGGTCAACGGGGCGAACGTTCAGGGCTTGAAGATGGGCTTTCAGTCCTCAATCCCCCCAAAAGGCATCTTCCTGCAACCTCCCCAAGGCTGGTTGGCAGCCCCTCAGTGGTCAGTGAGGAAGGTTGTAGGCTTCAAGGGCTGTGGCCCCTCTCCCCCCAGCTCTCCTGGAGTAACAGTATCTGTGCCCAGCCAGGGTGGGGCCGTGCCCTGCTTTCCTGAGTCTCAGGACCCAGTGTTCCTGGATTGGCCTGGCTGGCTGGCTGGCAGATGAAGGGAGGGGCTCAGTGGGAGGACCAGGAGCCTTGAGGGGGAGTGGAAGGATGCACCCCAGCCTGAGCTTTTGGACTTCCGGGACGTAGCCTCTTTCTCCTCCCAGCTTCTGCCTTGGACCTGGGCAGCCTCCCCTGGCCCCACGCAAGGGAACAAAATTCTTCAGCTGTTTACAATTTTCCACCCTAGCAGCCAAGATCAGCAAGTTCCTTTGAGGTCCCCACCCACCCCCACGGGGTGCCCCCTACCTGCCCCCACTGCTTTTAGTTCTTCAGGCTCAGGGTCCCAGTCTCTGTTTCATTCCCTCCCAGCCCCACATCCATACTGAAAAGCGGGACCAGGACCCCCCCCACACACCATTTTTGCAGCATCTTGGGGCTGTCCCTTGCCCACCTGAGCCCTTTGTGTTGCTTTCCTTGCCCTGGATGAGTTCTCTTCCCTGGGACAGGAAGGGAGATCTGCAGGGCTGGGAGCCCAAGTGTCCCTGTCCCCACAAGTTCTCTCTGCTCCTCAGCCGCAGGTCCAAGCGTATGCCAGACCCTGGGTGGGGACCTCACAGAGGCAGCCCTCCAGGAGCAGCGTCATTGACTGTGGGTTACGCTGTACTCCGGGAGTCTCAAAGGATTCTGGAATCAGGCAGCCTGGGTCTGAGTCTTGACAGAATGGAGCAAACTAGGGAATGCAGTTGGGGTCCCTACTCCTACCTGCACCCCAGCCCAAGGGCCACCTCAGACTCCTGGCCTCTCCACTTTGCCAGGGTCGCCACGGGCAGAGGCCTGCCTGGATTCTTGCCCCGATGCTACCTGTCAGTGCCACAGCCTTCCAAGGCCTTGGTTTTTCCTTCTGGAAATAACTGAACTGTCATGCCAAATCCTACCACCCCCCTCCTGACTCCTCATCACCAGCCAGGCCTGTCCTCTGCCTGGACTCTAGGTGGTGTGGCTGGGGTAGGACATCCATCTGAGGAAGGCTAGCGTCAGCCCTCCCAGTGCCCAGCCTGGGTTGGGTCAGGCCTTGGCTCCCCACTCGCACCTGCTTTAGCCATCAAGGCTGGTGACTCCAACGTCATAACCTTTCCTAGTTCTGGCCACATGGGAACTAGGACTCGCTACCCTGAGGACTTAGGCATTGGGTGGGGGTGGGCCCAGGGAAGCCTGAGGCCTGACTTCCCTGACAGTCCACTACCCACCCCGGGAAGATCTCCTGGGGAATGGGGTTAGAGCCCTTCCCCCACGCACCCCCAGCCTGGAATCCACGCTCCCGGGGACCCCTGGCCCACCTTTTTGGAAAGATCAGCTCTTCCCCTCCTTGCCCGTTCCCCTTCCCTTCTGAGGGCCATGTCCGTGCTGAGGTGGAGGGGCCGAGGGAGGGGCCGCCAGGAACCCTGGGCCTCTGGCTGTGGCCCTACCCCCACCCGCTCCGCCCCAGCCCTCCGCCTCCTGCACATTCCTCCTGGGCTGAAGTCAGCCCCTCTGGGATGGGGGAGCCCCCCCCACCAGCCACATCACAGCTCTCCTCTTGCTCCTGTTTTCTTCACTGCCCAGCAGGGTTGGGGGGGGAGGGCGGGGGGGCGGGGGGTGGAGCCTCCCTCTCCCCTCCTCCACAGCCTAGGGGAGTGTGGGAGGGGGGTGCCAGGAATGCAGCCAAAGTAGACTGGGGTGGCACTCCATGCTTATTAACATATATTAACATACGTGCTACCTTCCCTTAATCGGCTCGGGGGGACAGCTGCCCAGGAGTGTGAGTTGGGGGGCTCTGGATGCTGGGGTGGGGGCGAACCTGCCCCAGGGATCAGCCCCCCTTAGTAGACTGGGAGGAGCAGGGTGGAATCGCGACTGCTGCTCCCAGCTGTGTGTCTCTAGGGAGACACCGAACCTCTCGGATCTCTCTCCTCAACTGCCCTGCGGTCGCAGCTGGGTGCAGGGTGGGGGAACACAGGGGTCCGCTCTTGGTGCCACCTCCGCATCCTGGGCCTCCAGGCACACCCTTCACTGCTGCGTCTTTTGGTCCGGCTTCCCCGGAACCCTTCTCGGGCTTGGCTCTTCTCCTGTGCCCCCCACCCGTGCCCCCGCCCCAGCCCCCAGCACAATGACTGCCTCCACCCTCCACCTGAACCTCTGTCCCTCCCCGACCCCTGGGCACTCCTCAGTCTTCTTCCTCCGAGTCTCCAACCCAGCCCTGGCAGGGGCCAAGCGCCCATCCCTTCTCCCAGAGGCCCTGATCTCAGGGAGAACTTTTTGCCCGGTTAGACGGACAAGGCCCCGCCTCCTCCCTCAGCAGCTTGTGGCCTGACCCCTTCACCCTACTCCCAGGCTGTGCCCTTGTGGTCTTTCTGCCACTCCTCCTCCCAATGCCTCCCCTCTGCAGCACCCCGCCCCCCACCTCAGAGAGCTCGCTGGAGCTTGGGGGTTCCCAGGCTCAGCCTTAGCCAACCCCGCCAGTGCTCCAGGCACCCAATTTTGGGGAAGCAGCAGCTCTTTCTTTGCCAGGACTTTGCTTTGGGCTGTGCTCGCCACACTTTAGGCCCTCCCCTTTGTCACCTGCTAGACTCTCTTCTTTCCCATTCAGTATCCAACTTTCCTGGTGTCACGTCGGTGTCCCTTCCTCTGTGAAGCCCCAGATGCCTAGAACACCCAGGTTCAAGCCTCTCTGCAGGCCTCTGGGTCCCCCAGTGGCTATCATCAGGCAGAGGACAGGTACAGGGAGGGAGGAGATAGAACACCTGCAGGAAGCCCTTCCACCCTCCTGGGCCTGCTGAGTCGGGCGGTGGGGTGGGGAGGGGGGCGGTGGGAGACTGATGGACAAGGGACGCATCAAGTCCCTACTTGACCCTGCACCAGCCCCTCAGACCTTGACTCTCTCCACCCACAATGAGTTTGGAAAGCAGAGTCGATGGGAAGGGACATCAAACTGATTTTTCTCCTAAGTAAGATCACCTGTGGGGCTTATTTCATGCAAGGGGAGAAACCAAGACGGAGAAAAAGTGATCCATGCCCGCTTGGGCCCTGGTGTCCATCACCGTTATTAACCGAGGAGCTAAGTGGCTGGCAAGTATGGACACACTCGCTGTCACATAGCTGCACACGTACCCCACCTGGCCCAATGCCCTCCTTGGATGTGTGGTGGGGGCTGGCTTTCCCTCTGGGTGTCCAAGAGGGGTTAGGGGAATGCGTAGCCCCATGACAGGGATGTGGGCCCCCAGGATCTCTTTTCAGGGCAATAGACAGGAAGATTGGGCTCAGTTGTTTGGGAGTGAGCCTGAACCCAGAAGTCAACCACGAGAAGCTACGATCCTGTTCCTGCCCTCTCCCTGACTCCCAGGGCAGCTAGGACCTGGCCTACCATGCCACAGAACAGGTGGCTGGAGTCAGGGCTTGTGTTCTCCAGCGTCCTGGCTGGCCTGGCATTCTGGGTCTGGGATGGGGTCTGTGGGGGGATAATATGAGGGGCCCTGGGTGGGTGGGGAGTAGGAGGTTTGCCTGACATCAGAAGGAACCGTGGGGCTGCCCAGGAACATGGTGAGGTGTTCTTCCAGGCCTTGGCAGCCCCTGCAGCGTCACAGGTCCCAGATCTCATGGGTCGCCTCCCCATTCTGCACCTCGAATCTTGGCCTCCACCCACCTGTTGTGGGGGGCCTGGACCTGAGCTGCCCACTGGCTCCTCTCCACAGGGTCTCCCTAGATCCTGCCCTCCTAAGCCCTCTGGCTCTCAGAGCTTGTCTCTCTTCCCAGCTGTTTCCCCACCCTGCTGATGGGTTAAAAATACCAAGGCTGCCACCACATCAGTAGCCTGAGCAACTGTTTGGAGTGGGGTGGGCCATCTGAGAGGTGGATGGGCCTCGTGGAGGTCTCCACCGGCTGGTGACAGCCCACTTCACACTGGGACCCACAAGCTTAGTCTGGAAGCAGGAGCCTGGGTCCCTTCCCTAGCTCTGCCTATCTAAGAGTCCCAGGCCTCGTGGCTGCCGCTGCCCATGGGTGGGGCCAGAAAGATGGGCCTTCTTAAGCTGGGAGTACTCCAAGGTACACAGGGCCAGGGAGCACTGAATCTCTCTGGCCGCCCTCACCCCGCTGCTCCCAGGGATGAGGTTCAGCCCCTGGAACGCTCCAGGCAGTCGGGGATCCCCAGGAGTCAACCCCATGGAGTCCCTCCCTTTGGGGTGTAGGATACCTGGGATGCCACCCCCCACACCCCTGCCATCCCCAGCTGCCCCCCAAGGCTGGGAATTTCCCAACTGCCAAAGACAAGGAAGAATTGAAAGGCCGCCCCCGCCAGTGCTGGGACAATGGGGCCTTATGGCCTCCAAATCAGAGCAGGGGTAGGAAGGCCGAAGGCAGGTGGGGGCCTAGCTGTCTGCACCCAGGGAAGCCTTGCTTGCCAGGACCCAACCCGGACCCGCTGCAAGCTGGGTACAAGGGGATCCTGGCCAGAATCCTGCAGGGCCCACCCAGGGAGAGAGGCCCTGGGTGCGTCTGGCAGACAATGCCGGCCCCTCAATGGTCCCTCTGTGCGGGGGGGGTTCCCCTCAGGAGGGAAGGAAGGAACCATCTCCGGCGCGGTTTCCTGCTGAGCGGGCTTCACAGGGGGGTGGGGGGCTCCCCTGGAGCTCCCGCCCCGCCCGCATATCTGAGGCTCAGCGGGGTCCAGGCCTGACCGCCGAAGGAAGGCAGGGATCCTGGGTTGGGCGCGGGATCCTGTTCTCCTCGTCAGCCGGCCCTCAGCCCTCAGTCTCGGAGGCAGCGGTAGCAGGAAAGGCCCGAGGTACTGGGGCGGCAGCGGAGGCTGGGGGACGTTGATCTCCTTCCGATCCGGCGGCCACAGCCTCTCATCTCTTGCCAAACACTCGGGGCCCTGAGGCCGCGCGGGGACTGGCAGGTGTGCGGAGGCGGGGTCCTGGGTGCTCGGCCCCACCCTCCCACCCTCCGCCTTCCCCGCCTCCGCGGCGCCGACCCCGGCCCGGGCCGCTTTGTCCCGCCGCGGGCGCGGAGCCGTCGCTGCCCCACAAAGCTGCCTTTGTGCCCCGCGGCCTCCGCAGGACCGGCTGACGTCAGCGTCCGTGACCAGCCCGGCTGGGCCGGGCACGGACTGCGGCGCCCCCTGGCGGCTGAAGGCGGGGGGAGCTCGCTCCCGAGCCCCGCCCCGCCGAGCCCTTTTCCGTGGGCTCAGCTGCCCGCGGTCGCTGCCACCGGGACAAAGTCCAGGCGCCTTCGCAGGCGCTCAGGGTTCACCCCACAGGCACCCCCCCCCCCCCGCGTCCCGCCGTTTTGTCATCTGCCACTGTCTTCTCCAGCGACGTGCGTGCACTTCCCATAGCCTCACAGAAGCTTCCGCATTTCTGGGGCCCTCGTCCCAATGCACCCAGAGCCCTGCCGCCCTCCAGGGCCACTCGGCCTATGGCTATGGACACACTGAAGCGTGGCCACCTACCTGTCTCTCCCCGCCCCCCCTCCCCAGGTTTGGAGGGGGACCTCTGGGGCAGAAACCCTTCTAAACATGCCTCAGGCCCCTACGGTCCCCAACTTTGTTTTGTCAACCCCAAGAAGCCCAGCCCTGAGTAAGGATCTGGGCAACACCTCAGACTGGGAGAGGGGAGGGTGTACGAGGGACTCGGCAACTCCGGGTCTCTGAGCCCCGGGCCTGGGAGGTCAGAATTCACATTCTCCTCCTGCACTACTCACTGGACACCTCTCATTCTCCCAATAGAGAGGAACCCCTTAGAGGAACGGCTCCCAAAGAAATCTGCCCGGCTGCTGCAGTAAGGCTGGAAGACTGCCACAGGCCCCAGGCCGCCCAGGGGCTGGGAGGAGAGCGGGGCACGTACAGGCCCCAGGAGGTAAAATGACAACCACGCGGGAAAACCGAGGTGCCGCGTACAGGGCCTGAGGAGGACGTGGAGAGCCGAGCGGCCAGGGCCCTGCCACAAATGAGGACTCTGGTTCGGGTCACTGTCACCTTGGGGCAGCTTAGTCTGGGTCTCTGGCCCCAGGACAGAAGAGGACCGAGCAGTACTTGGTATTTTTTCTTTCTACATTTTATTATTTCAAACCAGGTGAACAATTCCATAAAACATGTGAAAAAAGCAAGGAAGTGTTCAACGCTGAAGGACCCGGGCCTGGGGCAAGGGCATGAGGGGCGAGGCCCTCAGCAGGCAGCGGCGGTTCCTAGGTTAGCGCACTAAAGAGCTACATTTAGGTTAATGGAGCCAGGGCCCAGGGCCACTGGGATGGGGCCCTCGGTGATGTTGGCAGTTGTCTGGATCAGCCCTTGGAACCCAATTCTGTGGAGGGCAGGGCAGGGCAGGGCAGGAGTGCCGCCCACACGGGGGAGGTGGGGTAGCCAGCCGAGGATGGGTGTAAACACGCAGACACACTCAAGGCACGGAATCACTGGAAGGGGGCTGGGTGGGCGCTGGTCAGGATTTGACAGTTTTAAATAGTTTTTCTCTAAAAAGTTTTCTAGGTTTGCAGTTTTGTCTTTTTTTTTTTTTTCCTTTACTTTCATTTTTTTAAAAAGCTACGAGAATGAGCAGGTGGACTGTAGTCTCCAGGAACGGTGGCGTCTCACGCTTCTTGTGCTTTTTCCTTTGGGGCCTCCAAGCGGCTGGAGGGGGTGGGATGGGCAGGAGGCTCCCTGTAAACATTTGGACTTGGGCTGGGTCAGGGGCTGGTGTTGAGCGAAGCCAGGGGTCCCAGGCTGGAGAAGTGAGTGCCCCTCCAGACACAGGCCTTGGGAGACTCAGCATGTGCTCCCCTCCCCATCACAGAATAAGACAATGGTTAAAACCAGAACAGATGCCCGGGAAGGGGGTATCGCGGCCATTTCCGGCACCTAGGACAAGGGCCGGCTTTAAACAGAGAGGCCTGGGCAGTTCCTCCCCCGAGTCCCTGGAACTGAGGGAGGGGACAGGGGAGCCAAGAACAGAGAGAGGAAAGAGGGGAAAAGCAGCCCGGGGTGGGGGGTGGGGGCAGGCAGGGAGCGTGGTCCTCTTGCCCCCATCTTCCTCAGGAGCTGGGGGAAGCAGAGTCAGCGGTGGCCCTGGAGGTGGGGGACAGTCAGGGCATGGGTCGGGAGGCAGCCGGGGTGTGCCTCTCCTCCCACCCCCCTAGACAATGACCCTCTCCTTTTTCTCATTCACCTGTTACCAGGGACACAGCGGCTGCCCAGGAGCCAGGGTCTGTTGCTGGGTTACGTGAGGGAGGGGAGTCTATGGCACTGGCAGAATCTTCCCCATCTCCCCCAGGGCCGGTGGGGCCACAGTCAGCCCAGGACCCTCAGATAGGTCTGAGGGAAAGACTGCAGGGCTGAGCACAGAGCCGGTCACACTGAGTGTCAGGTGGCTGGGGCCTCTGTCAGCCAGCCTCCTTCAGGCCAGGCCAGTGGCTTGGAGGGGGGGCAGCGAGGAAGTGAGCTTTCTCCAAGGGGGGCCAGGACAGCCCTTCCGTTCCCTCCAGGCGCACGGCCGGGGGCTTCTGCTGTCTGGACCCCTGCCCGGCCTGTGTGTGTGCTCGTGCCCCTCATTCAGTCGTCCTCCTGACCCACCATCCTGCGCTTCCAGGCTCCCCAGCTCCACCCTCCCCGGCCCCCAGTGGCCCCTTCCCTGGGCTCGATGGCTCCGCGCTGTTCCAGCCCCGCTCACCATCCTGCCAGGCCCCGCTGCCCCTCAGAAGAGGCCGCAGTCCTTCAGGTTGTTCTTGATGATGACGTCGGTGACGGCATCAAACACGAACTGCACGTTCTTGGTGTCGGTGGCGCACGTGAAGTGCGTGTAGATCTCCTTGGTATCCTTGCGCTTGTTCAGGTCCTCGAACTTGCTCTGGATGTAGCTGGCTGCCTCGTCGTACTTGTTGGCCCCTGTGGGAGACAAGACGGTGAGGACTTGGCCGCCTGCGCGACAGGCATGAACGACAAGGTTCTGCGCACGTGGACAGACAAGCACATAACGTGTGCACACGTGTGCGAAGGGTGACGATGTGCGTGTACGTGCGTGCCTGAGTGTATAAAGAGGGGCTCCTGAGTGTGCACATGTAAGGGGCACGTGCCCTGCGCGCAGGCCCAAGCCCGGAAGCCGAAGCGAGGCCCCAGCTCCTGCGCGAGTGTCCTGCAGTTACCCTTCTGTCCAGTGGGGGGCGCCTGCGCACCACCTGGTCACCACCAGCTCCTCCCCAGAGGCCCAGTCCCCACACCTGTGTACTCAGGGAAGCAGATGGTCAGGGGGCTGTGTGTGATCTTCTCCTCAAACAGGTCCTTCTTGTTGAGGAAGAGGATGATGGACGTGTCTGTGAACCACTTGTTGTTGCAGATACTGTCAAACAGCTTCATGCTCTCATGCATGCGGTTCTGGGGGCAGGACAGCGCGGTCAGCACCTGCCCCTGCCCCCCGCCCCCACGCCCCCCCAGCGGCCTCTCGGCCTCTCACCATCTCCTCGTCCTCGGCTAGCACCAGGTCGTAGGCGCTCAAGGCTACGCAGAAGATGATGGCGGTGACGCCCTCAAAGCAGTGGATCCACTTCTTCCGTTCAGACCGCTGACCGCCCACATCAAACATCCTGCAGACACGGGGTTGCCTTAGCTCCAGAAAAGGCACTTCCCAGAGAGGGTCCCCGGTTCACAGGTTGGCTGAGCACAGACGCCTGCTCAGAGGGGGGCAGCTGTCTTCACAGCGTCCCCCACACCTGCGTGCCTTACGCCTGGTTCTGGGCCAGAGCGCATCCGCACGGGCAGGGCCGGGGCTGGTCAGCAGGGCAGGATGCAGCCACACGGCGGGGGGGGGGGGGGTAGCAGGGGAGCCGAGCCACTGGCAACCACGCAGCCTCGAGAAACCTCAGAGCGGGGCTTGGAACTCCTGGAACGGCCCCTCCTCCCACCCAGCAGAGCCATTAGCGGGCCTTGGAGTGAGGATCCCCCCACCCGCGTCTGTTGCCCCAAAGACTGGCAAGTCCCGCCCTTCCACCCTGCCCACATGCCGGCTCACTTGAAGTGTAGGTCCTTGAAGGTGAAGTGCGTCTCCACAATGCCCGTGGTCTTCACACGGGTCCGTAGCACGTCCTGCTGTGTGGGGATGTAGTCACTCTGTGCGATGCGCTCCAGGTCATTCAGGTAGCTAGAGGTGGGGGCAGTGGGTCAGTGGGGGCCGGCATGAGGCCTCTTCACCTGGACCCCGGGCCAGCTCACCCAGGCCCCCTATGCCTCCCCTCCCCTCATTTCTCAGACAAAGCCCTTGCCTCTTCAACCCTTGCCTTCGTTACAGTCATTGCTCAGATGAGGAAAAACTGGACCAGAATCCCTCGCCTCCTGCCCAGGGAATGGGCCTAGAGGAGGTGCAGCTCTGTGCCTGGCCAGCCAAGCCCTAGCACCCAGGTCTGAGTCAGGCCTGCCTCGGACAGGATCTAGGCTGGTGGAGCTGCAAACTGAGGAGGGTGGGAGGGGGCCAACGCATCCTTCAGGGAGGGATTCGGGATGCTAATCGGCATAACCACAGCACCCGCTGCGGAGCGGCCCGGCATGCCCCTCGACGCGAGGCTGGACAGGTCGGGGCCTGCCAGGCTCAATGGGCTCTTTGCCCAGTGCCCAATAAAATTTGGGCTCCTTGGGGGGAGGGCACGGACACCTGTTTGGCAGGAGTCCCGGGGCTCCTCATTACCAGCTCCCTTGATTAGTATCAACACTGCCCCTGCCAGGCCCTGGGACTAGCTCTGCCGTCTGCCTCAATATCCTTGCTGTGCCCTGGGGACTGGGTCCTCCGAGCCGCTGCCCAGTGCTGAGGTCTCACTCCTGGCGCAGGCCTGCTGGGGCCAGCGGGAAATGACCTCAGAGACGCAGGGACAGAACAGAAAAACAGGAAGGACCACAAGGGCCCATGACGCATATGCTGTGACCTGCTTACTGCACCCTGTCGCCTACTGAGAA